TACAAAGGATAGCCAGGCACACATAACAATACCAGCAACCTTGCAACTAACCAAAAATACAACATTTGAGAGTCACAAAAAAAATTGAGAGTCATTTTTGGTGGCCCCCCTGATCATTATGAAACCCACGTAGAGGATTCATCGAACTCTCACTGTCCACTAGTAACTAGGGCTTTGGAAGCTGCCATCGAGCACAAACTCGCGGTTCTTATGAGCCGTTCTAGCCCAGACTCTGATCGATTGGTTTTTTCAATAGAACGATTCAAAAACCACACCTTTTCAATAGCGACTGAAAATGCACTTTCCCAAGTGTTTTTCAATAGAAAACAACATCTTGGTTAGGTGCATCCTATTGAAAAAACAACAAATTCCTATTGAAAAAGACGAAATATTGAACTTTCCTATTGATTTTTGGTGCAATTGCTATTGAAATTTGTTGTCAAATTTTATTGGTTTTTTGAAGAATTCCATTGATTTTGTCAAAGTTCTTTTGATATTTCTTCCTTGACACATGCACTTGTGACTTATTTGCTTGATGGTTGGATAGCCATTCTGTGCTGTGATGGCAGGATAGCCACTGTGCTGCCCTTGATGGCTGGATTGCTACTCTGTGTGATTGATGGCTGGATAGCCACTTTGTGTGGTTTATGGCTGGACAGCGACATTTTGCTTTGATGGCTGGATAGCCATTTGGTGCCTTGATGGCTGGACAGCCACATTTTGCTTTGATGGCCGGATAGCCCTTTGTTGCCTTGATGGCTGGATAGCAACATTTTTGCTTTGATGGATGGATAGCCATTTGTTGCTTCATGGCTGGATAGCCACTTGTTGCTTTGATGGCTGGGTAGCCATTTGTTGCCTTGATGGCTGGATAGCCATTTGTTGCTTTGATGGCTGGGAATAGCCAAGCATATGCCTACTGTATTTTATGTCATGTAGTTGGGCCCAGGCAGAGACAGCACTGGGGCAGTGTGTAGAGCATGGCCACGCAGGGTCCACTTTGGTGGCTGGACAGCCATCTAGTTGATGGCTGGACAGCCACCTAGTTGCTGTTATGATGGCTGGACAGCCACTACCTGTCAGTTGTTTGGTCTGTAGAGAGTTAAAGATGTTGTGTGTAGTGTTGAGGCTCAAGCAATCGATGGGTTTGTAGCAGCTGGCTTCGCAGCAGCCATGGTAGAAGGAGGTAAAGGGGAAGGCATGGCAGAAGAAGGCAAAGGGAAGAAAGGTGGAAAAAGTGAGGAGCTAAGGGCAGCCTGTCAGGCTGATACTGAGTGGAACATTGCCCACTCCAAAACCCACCAGATATCCCAGGAGCAAAGGGAGCAGGCAATGCAACTGAGGAAACAAAGGGGATGCGCAGAGCCTGCAGGAGATGAAGTGCCAGAAGATATGTTTGCTGGGGGCAACCACATGAGTGGAAGGCCAAAGGGTTTTTGGAAAGGTGGAGTTCGCTTCTCAGCAGCATCCATTTCATGGCTGGATAGCCATCGTTTTAAACTGGTTTAAGATAATGGCTGGGTAGCCATATTCTTGACACGGTTTAGCCTTGCAGTGGCTGGTGCAGAGCGGCAGGGGCAGCTGAATCAGCCAGGTCAGCATTGCTTCGTGCCTGGAAGTTGTGGACCCAGCAGAACACCTTTGTTGAAGAAGAAGAAGGAATTTGTGCGCACCAGCCAAAATGCAACCCACCATGGAAGTGGGTCCCCTCATAAAGCTCTGGAGATGGTGGCGGAAAGGGGCCTGGAGAAGGGGGTAGAGAGGAAGGTTGGAGAGCAGGATGGAAATGGTGAAAGGAAGGGACAAGCAGGAAAGGGCCCTGGAGATGCTGGAGATGGTGGAGGAAAGGTTCTGGAGATGATGGAGGAGAGGGAGCCACAGAAGAGGGAGGAAAGAGCTCTGAACCTGGTGGAGGGAGTGGAGGGAAAGGGCCTCAACATGATGTATGGAACAACTATGCTGGCAGCCAATGGAACCAGGAGGACTGTGCAAATGGCTGGACAGCCAACACTGTTGTAGGAATGATTGCTGGATAGCCACCTTTAGCACTTTGAAGCTTATTGAGCATGGCAGGAGTGGGACCAATGGGTGAAGGAGATGGGGATGGACTCGCAGATGGGTGACTGATTGGGAGCAAATCAGCTGCAATTAATTGTCAAATGGCTGGACAGCCATATAGGTTCGAGTTTCTCTCAGGTGGCAGGTTTGTTTGGCTTCAACTTAGTTGTCTAAATGGCTGGATAGCCGCTGTCTTGTAAGCAGTTTTGCTTGTAGACATTGAATGGAACTGGTAGAGCCTGTGAAGAAGGAGCTGCAAAGGTGCCAGCAGCGCAGAAAGATGTCCTACATCCATGGCAAGAGCTGGCTGAGGCGCTGGGATGTGAGGGGGGTGTATGAGTACCTCCTGCTGAGCCTGCAGAGATAAGAGCAGTCGAGGAGTACCAGATGGCTGGATAGCCAGGTGTTCCTCACAATCCCTGTTGGCCAGAGAGCCCTCCAAAGGCAAAGACCTGTGAGACCAACAAAAGAAAAGAATTGTAGCAGGATCGGGGGGAGAAACCACGTGGGGAGAGTCTGGGAGAGCTAGCCTCGAGCGCAGTTGCCAGGGGCGAAGTTAGCTAAAGAGAGCGCAGTTCTTTCGGGAGAATTTGCCCCCGCCCTAGTGAGCTCCTACGGGAAACTACTCCGTCCCAACCTTTATGAGTTGATACGGTGGGCCTCCTCAACATGGTTCCTTGGCCTCCTTCTTCTTAGACCTCCGATCAAAGTTTTCCAGCGGATGCCAAACAGTGTTGCTGACATGTCACTTGCACTTCATGGCATCATCCTGGTTGGGCTCTACCATAAGGATGTTCTTGCAGATCATATATATATATATGTGTGTGGATATGTGAGGTTGTACGTGTGGATATGTGAGGTTATATGTGATTGTAAACTGGTTAACTGGCATAAGTATTTCGGCCAGACTTACGCTAGATACAGTGTAAATACACAATTTAGAAATAGCACGGAAGCTAAACCCTAGTTATTCTACTTAGGCGTGCGCTCAGCCTGCTTACAAGAACCTAATTTTTTGCTTGCTTTTACATTGTTTCCTTAAAAATGCCATTACAGCCCCTAGATATATGAAATTGCTGAGGGGTAGTCGAGCGGGCAAAGTTTTATAAGATCGACCATTTGGTACTTAACACTTGTTGGGCTGTTGCAAACATAGAAGAAACCCTTTACACTTGAACATCTTTACACAAATCACTTCGGTTGTGGTTACATATAGGGAAAAGCTCGTTTGAGCATATCTGGTTGATAGATAATAGATAAAGATATTTAATATAACTTGAATATAGGGATATGTTGATTTAGAGGTATATTGATATACCAAGAAGAAACAAGGGAATTAGTTAGTGGGCTCAAGTATTCTTGGCTCCAAGCACCCTGTTCCAAACATTCGGCCGGGTTTGAATGGAAAAAAGAGAGGGGAGGAAAAGAAAGAAGGGCACCCTTTCGCGTGCATCTGCGAAACACTTGGGCTTGCGTTGAGAGAAAAGAAGGGAAGGAAGTGCAATCTCCGAGATTGGTCAGTTGAAAGGAAAGCCTGCCCGCACTGGTGTGTGAAGACAGAAACAATTCTATGAGGGCCCACATGGCCTGACATCGTCTGACTTCCTTCTGACTTCGTTCTGACATCGTTTGTCGTCAGGGTGTCATCGGGCCTCACTTCGTTCTGCCATCGTGTGTAGTCAGGATGTTGTTTGGCGAATTCCAACATAAAAGCAGATTGACTTCGTTCTGACATCGTGTGTAGTCAGGGTGTCGTGGGGCCTGGCTTCGTTCTGACATCGTGTGTAGTCAGGGTGTCGCCGGGCCTGACTTCGTTCTGACATCGTGTCAAGCGACGTCAGATGTCTGGCCACATTGGGCGTTCACCAACGGAAAAAGGAGCTCCCTTGTTTCTTTACTGCCTCTGTTTCAAGCTCTCTCTCTCTCTGTATATATATATATACACGAGAAATATTTTATATATCAGATACATATATATTTTATATATCAGATACATATATATATATAGATAGATAAATATACGTGGATATTGCTTGTATCCAGTACAGGCAGGGTGGGGAAGAAGCTGCAGTGCCAAACAACATGTTGCTTCTGGTTGAGAAGTCACGGAACTGGGGACGCGTTTGGCAACTGCTTGAGTCCCACTTGCTCACACCTGCTTTAGCCGAGTCATGGACGCTTCCTCCGCGGTGGCGATGGGACGATGATGTGCTCACTATACCTTGCTGTAAAAAAGAATTAGCACGCTGACCCACAAACCGCTTTGTCGCTGTTGTATTTATTATTTATGTCGGGTTCGCGGTGTGTCCGCTGTAGGCGGCGGTGTCGCCGCTGTAGGAACTGACGCGTTCAATAGGCGACTGCCTCGCCCCTCTTTGGTCGACAAGCAGGGATGGTTTAAAAAGAGCGCTCACGCAATGAAAAAAACAATGTTTTCAAAAAAATTGGAAAAGCAGCATTTTGCAACTTCAAAAATCAGGGGGGCAAGGCCTCCAGCGATGAACCTTGTCCAACGAAGCTAAATCGCTGGAGGGGAAGCGAATGGAGACGTCCATTCGTGTACCTGCAACCGGAACGTTTGACTACGCTGTGACTCCACTTTTCTTTTTTTGATTCCATGGTTCTTCCACGATACTTTCCCCCAAACCCTGTCTTGCAGCTGAAGTGTCGCTGCGTCACCGCAGCCTGCCGCCGCGCGTTTCTGCAGTCACGTGAAAACATTGTTAAACAATAATTTTCCGCGGACTCATGCACCTTTCCGTTCCCTCACCTTTTTCCACTTGGGAATAGATCAACTGAAAGCCAATGTCAGAGTGTTAGTGTTTTTGGCAGACATGTTCGTTGGAGTGGTTCAACAACTCCTGTAGATCGGGACACTTCAACCTGTGGCAGTCGGTCACTTCTTTCTGGACTTGGTCAGAGTGTGAGCGCCGCAGCGCCAGGAAGCAGCCAAGAAGAAATGAAAGGACACGGTATTCGCGGTGTCGGCTTGAAGCTTTGCCTAAGACGTGGGTTGAGTTTTTTTTGCAAGTTAAGCCGCTGGTCCTTCAATCTGGAGGTTTTTTCAGGAGCATCCCAGTTTGCGCCTCCAAGAATTGATGGGTTCTGGTTGGTCGTCGGTTGAATCCATGATTGCTGTAAATGGTGGGTCGCTCACCTAACAGTCACGAAAAAACTGCAGTTTCAGCCGATTGCCAGGATGTTTCTACGCAGCATGTGCTTTGTCTCAGCTTCGAAGAGCACTGCTGTATACTGCTGTTAGGACATGGCAAAGAACACAAGAGAAGAGAAGAGAAGAGTTGCACTTTGTCCAGGAGGCTTAGCGTGAGCTGAGGTTTTTGGGAGGACAGTTTGCTTTGCCAGGAAATTGTTTTTTTTTGCCACCTTGCTAGTCTCATTTCATTTCATTTTATTTGTGATCAGTTTTCAGTTTTCTGGGATGACAATGACATCCTAGTGTTCATTAGTTTTTGCAGTTGGGTGTGCGACGCTGCGACACTTGGAAATTTTGCGATAAACCAAACCACGCAGATGTTGTATGAAGTTGTGTGGTACACGAGGCACACGAATGGGGTTGCCCAATATTCTCCACGGTTTTCCGAGTTGACAGATTCAGCAGAAACAATGTCACTGGACTGAGAGCAGTCGAAGATACACGTTCCTGGGGTTATTCTCACGTAGACTAGTGTATGTGTGTGTGTACATGTGTACATGCACTATGGAAAGCCGCTTGTCCTCTCTATGAGTGTGATGTTTGCCTTTCTAAAACCTGGACGGCTGATCATGGAACCCTTTGCTGCATGCTGGGAGGCAGTACCACCGAAGGTGTTCATGCCTTGAATGTGACCACTTGTGTGCAGACAAAAGAGGCTGTTGGGCCGCCCCGTTGAATGACTTCTGAGCATTTCATCATAGAGAGATACAGCATAGACACTGCATATAGACCCCGTAACTAGATAGAAAAGTAGATCCCCACTAACAATGTATTGGACACCCTTTCTATCTATTCGGGGACCACTATAATTTTGTTTAGGAAAGGCTGCAAGCACAACCTTGATTTTTTTTTGCATTCAGTCACGAACCATGCCTACGCTCAACAAAAGCTCTTCCGATGTTTTTTTCATTGGGTGTTCTTCAACCGAATCACCAGAGTGATGCGAACATGGCTGTTTCGGCTCTGTCGGCCTTTCAGCTCTGAGATTGGCTGTGATAGCATGAAAACCTTCAAAGATGGCAGGTGTCAGGTTTTTGCCTTATCAGACCTGCCAGCTTGACTATCGACGTGCCAAGACATTGATACTTGAGATGATGACCTCGCCATCCCATTGCAACGTGGTTTCACTCGGTGCCATCCGCCTGCCGTAGAGCAAAGGTCTCAGGTCATGTTCGGCTGAAGATCTGGTAGAGGATCGGCGGCTTCCGAGTGCACCACCTTCTTGCGGAATTGAGCTGCCGCATGCCGAAGGAAGATCAGCAGTGATCTCTACAGTTCTATGCAGCAACTAGAATTCCCTGCTGTTGAGTGGATGAATCGGATTTCTGAAATCTTGTGGCGGGTTTCGATGAGTCCAAAACACTTAGTTTCCCCGTTTAAACACTTAGTTTTCACCACGAACTCGACTTGTTTTGTCTCCAGGATCAGCTGAGCTCGCGCAAGCAGGCCTCTTGAGTCGAGAGGACGGAGATGGACGGAGCAGTTGTATTGAACCAAAGAACTCTGCAACCCGTGACGGGGAGCACGGGAGGTTTAGTAAGACTTAAGAGATGGAGTCCAGCCAACCGCTGAGGGTGGCCAACATAGTTTTTTTAGTGATTTCGAAGTACGAGTTGGAGCAAACGAACAGCAATCTCAGAGTGCAGGATAGGGGACAAGTCAAAAAAAAAGGTGAGCGGAAAGGTGAGCAGAAAGCGATCCAAAGGTGATTTGATTGAAATATTTGGATACCAAAGCAAGAAAAAACACAAAAAGGTGACCAACATATGATCAAAAAAAAAATCCACAATCGACACCTAGTATATAAACGTCACGTGTCGTTTCAGGAGGCGTTTCACAATATGTCAGTCAGTATGCTCACTATGTTCTTGCTATTTGCTCACTATTTTCCTGACCATGCTTTGCTTTCCTATGTCTCCGCAATCACTTTTTGATTGCTTTTTTTTCCACATGTTGCGCGAACACCCCAACCTATGTTCACTATTTTCTTGCTGAGTTCCTTACTCAGGACCTCACAAAAAAAAACAATAAATAAATCTACCTTTCCAGTGGTTACCTGTCGTCGTAAGTCTTAAAGTAAGACATGGATTAACGGTTTTGGGCGGGGGATGTTCTGACATCCAGCTTTTTTGAGAAAGCTTCTTGACTTTTGGGTTGGGTAAACGGTAGGGTCATGGAAGACGTTGAACGACGTTGACCACTATATACCGTGAATGCCGAAGTAGAAGCAGCCTCCCTTGCCCCGCTTCCTCGCCGAAAACCTGTACATCAATTGGAGGAGGCGGAGGAGGAAGAATACGCGACTGCTGCCACCACTTTGGCTCAGTGATATGAAGAGCAGCAATCAGGAGCTATGGGTACTGGGGACATTTAGCAAACTTAGATATTCCGACGTGTCAACAATAACGGTGTTCACGTGCCTATTTGATCCTATTTGCTTCTCCAAGGACATCTGTTGGAGTTATTCCATCCATGGGGGTGATTGTCGCTGGCATCAAACTTGATCTCCTTTCGGTCTTTCCGTCTACTATTTCCAGCACCATGCCCTGTGCACCATATCGTAACAAAATACGGCTCATCAATGCACATGACTTCTTCAATTTCTCTTTCATGACCTTGTACATTTGCTGGACTTAGTGCTGCGCACATGACATTCAATGGTTCTTGACATGCATTTTGATCTATTTGGATTGAAATAATTTGGCAACTGGCTGCCACATGGCACTCACGAGCGACCCACGCTCTTCCCATGAACTGCTGCAGGGGGGATCGATCTTCTTGTTGCAGTATGTTGCAGTGCTCGGGATGGACCGCATGGCCGGCGACCGCCAGGAAAATGATCCGGATGTTCCAGGCGCATCACGGGTGATGTGAATTACTTGAGTCACTTCCTGTTCGGGGTCCGCATGATTGTTGTGAAAAAGATCCCATGGCCATTGCTGTCAACTGAAAAGGCTGGCAGCATCTGGTGCAACTCTCCAGACCCGGCGAATGCGTTCGATGCGAGTTCGGCAGGATCGAATTCTGGTGGGTCCGGGATCGAATTCTCGTCGCTCGGCGCGTTTTGGGCATCCAACTCCTCCTTTTCGAAAAATATAGCCACTTCTACTCAGAAGAGGCTCTCCGAACTGGGCATCACATGTTTGTTCAATAGAAATGTTGCGGAGAACGGCAAGGTCGTTCCCTGAGATTTGCCCTAAAGTCTGGAGAAAGTGCTTGCTGATGAGCAGTGCTTGGCCAGGTACCACATGAAGTCTCATCCACACCTGTCCACTGTCCACCTTTGACGAACACCTGCCTTCGCATACGTTGAGTGAAGCCGTTTGCCGAGCCTTTGCCGCACCAAAGGAGTGTGCTTTGTGCTGCGTGTTTCAACTGGCAGATTCAGCAAGAGTCTTTTCTCGGCCACGCCATAGCCTGCCCCATGAACTGGAGCTGACCATGAGCAACCATTCTACTCCCTATTTCCCTTGTCATCAACTGAGGCTCCATCACAATGTCACACGGCAGAGACCAGCTGCTCACATCTGCTCACGGGTTCACATGACACCTTGTTTTCATCCTCAAAATGGTATTAGCATGTTTCAGCCATGTTCTGTCCTTGTCCAAACTCGACATCTCGTGTGCTTGTCCTCGCTCTTTCCACTTCTGCGTCACTCGCTTGGGTTCTATCCTCCTCTTGGATCATTCGTGCCCACTTCGGCGTTGACTGCCTAGGAAGAACGGCGTTGACTGCACGGGGGGAACATCGATGATGGAGGAAGGACGTCTCCGAAAGACGCAGAAGGCCCACGCAGAGGAGCCCTCCTGGTCACATGGGAGATGTTTCCATCCAACGAGACAGTCGGCGTGACACGGAGACTACACCAAGTGCGCCTCCCCTGCACCTCCTGCCGCTTCCAGTCGTTGGTGTACACCGAAAACCAGGACAGTCTGCAACTGTTCCATTTGTTCCCTTTTCTTCCATCGAACACTGGTCGTTTCAGGACATCAAACCGTCGGCCTTTTAGAGTCGTGAGCGGCGTTTTACTGGAGCGACTGGCCTTGAGATGTCTTGGGATATCTTGAAATGACTCCCAAAACGCCTCGGAATGCGTCGTTTTCCCGTGGCAACCAGGTGCAAGATCAGAAGGACTGCGGGAGTTTGACACACCAACTCAGAAGGACTGCGCCGTGTGAATTCTCTTTGATGAGTTCATTGTTCCAGAGCTGAGGTGATGGAGGAAGACTGTCACTTCTCCTTTGGTTATCTTCTCCCGTGTCCGCTGTCAATGGGTTGATATGGAGTCCTTTAGTAATTGACATTTTGTCCTGTTCTCCTCCTTCAAGTGCCGGTCACGGCCATGACCAGCGCCAGAGGTTCAATGAGGGGTCGTTCTGATTGTTTTCCTCTCCTCCATATCCTCATTTCATTTGTGCAACGCGATTGGATGTTGCCAGTTGTTTGCAAATTTTACTCTCATTAAGATTGTAGCCTCCGCAAGTTTGCTTGAAACAGACTCCGAGTCTTTAGTGCAGTTCTGCCAACACGGACACGTGCAACGCGATTGGATGTTGCAAGTTGGTTGCAAAGTTTACTCTCAAGATGGTAGTCTCCGCGATTGTAGTGTCCGAAGCTTTCCTGGATGGCTTCCTTGCAATAACACCCTTCCGGTCATTTCAGAGACCAGAGCAGTTTAGCCATGGCGCGGATCGAACATGCAGCGAGGATGGAAGACAAGCGCAAGGACGATGAGGACTGTGAAGAACGGCAAAGACGAAGAGAAGTTTTGGGAGAAGTGCGAAGAGCACAGGAGAAAGTCACAGTCCCAAATGCACAGTATGCGATCCTGGAGGGCGACCCTCTAGACGCACCAGTGGTCGAAGTGTACCGAACTCAGTTTTTTGACCAAAGTGGAGAGAAACGAGATTTGCCAAGCTGGTTGCAGAAGTATGCAGAACAAAGTTTGATGGAGCAGCCCACAGCAGACCAGCCCTGGCCCCTTCTGGATTTTGATGGAAAAGACATCAACTGCTACAGTGGAGATGTCATGGACCCCAACCATTCTGAGATCTGCAGTGAGAAAGATTATGAATCCGATGAAGATTTGCCACTATGTGCATGTCCGCACGATTCAGACGATGCAGACAAGTCGCAAGAGTTTGGCAACAACTGGATGTATACGCGGGTTTTTGCATATGGAAATCATGTCCCGCACTTGATGAAGGCGGATGCTTCAACAGCAATGTATGGCATTGAATTGTTTAGCTCCGTCAACTTCATCCTCGAGGTGGCAAAGTCGGACAGGCCCACTTTAATCTTTTATATTTTCACCGCCTCCTTCATTGCCGTCACCTTGACAAGCTTTGTGTTTGCCTTGGTGCTGGCTGTGGAAGAGATGGCAAGACAAATCGACGAAAGTGACTTGAACAAGCCGTACAAGAAGAATGAGGTGGGTGCTGTGAAATGCAGTTGGAAGTGGACGAAGACAACTTTCTGGCTAACACTCTCATACTTGGTTCTCAAGCCAAGGACTCTAGTGGATATCATTCCCAGGATCCATCCACGTGGCAATTGCCCAGGGAAAGGAGCAGCCAAACTGTTTGGAAGTCGCCTCTTCTATGCGACTTTCCTGTCAGAAGCACACTTCAAGGCAGAAGATCAGGAAGGTCTCGAGTGCATGATGCCCCTCCTGTTCCTGAAGAGTGGCTTTGAGCTGCTGATGCAGCTGATTATCCTCTCGGTCACACCAACCTTTGATTTATCCTCCATTTTGCTTCTTCAAGTCGCCGTGAAAATTGCGTCTTTCATGTGGCACCTCCGGCAATGGTGCCAGCTCTTGATCATTCGCAAGCACCTTTTTGCACAAGCATCAGGAATCTGGCTTGAAAAACGCTGGGCAAACGATCCATTTCCTAAGACGTTCGATGACTTGAACTTGGAGGAAGGAATGTGGAACTACAAACGAAAGCTTTGGGAGCATGTCTTCCAGAAGCATTTTCCGCATGTCTTGGGCAAAGATCTGAAGACATGCTGGCCCAGTCTCCGCTTTGCTCCAGGCCCCGTCACAGCATTTTGCCTCCTTCTTGTGTTGATCGTAAATACACTCTCGGCAGTCTCCATGATCTATTTCGCACACTTTGCAGATCACAAAGATGAGACTCAGAAAGATGTCCAGGATCTTCTCCACTGAGGGTTGGAGGGGTTGCAGTGCAGTTGCATTTCAACAGCCCCTTGGATTGCCTAATGACGCCACCCCCGATCGAGTCGAGAAAACACCTGTGCGATTTTTTGAAAGCAACTTCTTTCATGAACAGTGGAACTGTGCATCATCATGCCAGACTCAGTGCCAAGCTGCATTTTTGTGTTCATTTGCCAATTTTGGTTGAGAGGCCCGCTTCCAAACATCAGGCATGGAACTCAGTGGCTTTCTCTTGCGGCAAATCTTGTGAAACAGCAGCTGCAGTGGAGGAGAGTTGAATTATATCCATAGTTTCCCCAACGCAGCTGCTCAAACTTCAACTGGACCAATTTTCAGTTTCCCCCACCCACCTCGAACTCAAACTCACCTCCTTTCCGTGCGTAGAAAATTTCCCCAAACCTGGAACCGAGATGAACGGAGTCTGCAACAACTCATCCTGCCTCCATCAGCTCTGAAAACTAAAGTGATAGAGTCAGAAACCGTTCCGCTGAAGCGCTGGACACGGCTTCGGGATCCCTTTTTGGTCACAGTTTCCTTACCAACTCGGCCATCTCCTCCAGGTTCCGACCACCAACATGATGCTCAAAATTTGGCAAAAGGCAGGAATGTCTTCTCTTTGCACTTTCATTTGATGAGAAACCTTGAGGCGCATAGGTCAACTTCAGAGATTCTATCTTGCAGCTTTAGATATGAGTTAGAGTGAATCGAAACTGACTGTTGTTCGGCGACATTGGCGAGGGTCATTGCGAGCATCAGCGACGATGTGTGCGGTCTACCTCACGAGATGAGAGTTACTTTGTTTGCATTGAGATGTTTCATGCAGAAACACTAACCGCCAACCATCGGCAACCAAACAAAGTGCACAAACGCGAGGTCTTTGGACATTTGATTCCACGTTCTTGCAGCATATCACCAACTTTACAGGCTTGCCTGACGTGTTGTCGCCTAGAGGCTCCGGCTTCCAAGGGCCAATGGCCTTTCTGTTGCGAAACCGCCCCCAACCAAAGGGCCAATGCTTCACTTGACCGAAAACCGGAGGAAAACCATTCGTTCTGGTTCACTCCGAGGTCTCGCTCCGGTCCTCCCGGTCCGTGTGGACGGAGCCGAGTTTCGGGTCGCCGTCGACGTGAAGTAATGGATCCAATAGGTGCAGTACTTGGAGCCGTGAGTAGGGGGGGTGGTTTGTTTGTTTTGCTGATTAGGTGGTTTGTCTTTTGTGTGGCAGAAGACAGATCTTCTTTTGGAGATGTTTCGAACTGTTTTGGTGAATGTTTCTTTTCTCGGTGCACGCATGCAGATGGAATTTGTAGAAGATATGTCAGACATGTCGTGGCCCGGCTCCGAGATATTTCTTCTTCGCACGATGTGATCTAGTAGTAGTCCTATATGAGATACAAGTCTAGCGGTACCTTGAGGTACTTTGGTACCTTTGGTTCATGAGTGTCCAGATACTGGCTGTGAAGCCTTTTTCGTCACATCCAGATGCCCTCCTTTCATCCAGGCACCGACTTCTTCGGATCCAACGGTGGGTCGTCCCACCACTCGCCGGTCGGTCCGCTCGGTCCGCTCGGTCCACCCCCGTTGGGCCAGGCCAAGCCTGGTGGGAGGTCGGTGAACAGCACCGAGGTCAGAACGGCTCGTCGCAGTCAGCTTGTGTTTGGTTTGTTTTCGGTCTTCGAGGAGTGTGGGTGAAGGTTCACCCCAAAACCCTCAAAAACATTCAAAAACCATTGTTTTTCATTGTTTTTCTGTTGAGGTGAGTTTGGATGGTTTGATTTGATATGGGCTTTGATGTTTTGATCTCTTGCTCGATGTGCCAGACTGGGCTCCCCTTGGAGCGCTCACCGTGTGAAAACGTCGAAGAAAAGGAGGCGCAAACACAACGAGTGATGTACGGAGTCATCCCGAAGCGGACAAACACAACCTGCAAAGTAGGTAACAGGTTGAGTAGGTAACCTGTACTAAGCTAGGCTGGTGCTTGCTCACTAGGTCACTATATGCTGCGTAGGTTACTAACCTCGAGAGCCAGCTATGCACGTGAGCTGCGGCATAGCGGTCTGCGTAAGCGCCTGCACCAATGTCCAAGTGTGACATACAAGAAGTGTGGGTCGCGGAAGGACATTGGAATTAGACGCGTAGCGTAGTAAGGGCTGTTATAAGTTTCGTACAAGTTCAGTTTGTGTCACGGTGATTTTGCACCAGCAGCGACAGCAGAAGCAACGGCAACGGCAGAAACCCAAACGATCCGCAAATGCATAAAGTTTTTGACGCTCTCGCACCAAGAAACGCAACAGGTGGAGTCTAAAGAGTTCAGAGATTCCGCAGTTCCACAAAGCAATCACAGTGAACGTTGGGAGTCTCCCCTGGTTGAGTGCATTTCAGGGACGGGCGACTCTCAGGGCGGTCGTTTCGAGCGCCTCTCCGGTCCGTTGCAAAGATTCCGTTGCAAACAAAGGCGTCCACCTGCCGTGCAAACAAAGAGACCGGACCATATAAAGACATGTAAAGACAAACCTCCTGGACTAGTTTGTCACAGCATCAGCATTTCATAAAGCTTTTTCTTTATCACGCCCAGAAAGATGCAGGGGCGTTTTGTTCCTCAATCTTCTGAAAGGTCCTTAATTTCTTTGCTCCGCCTAGATCTGAGCATCCCTGAATCTTCTCAAACATCTTTAGTCTTTTTGATTCTTCCATTTTTTAATCAATAGTCGTTGTCCTTTTTGTTTTTGTTCGGCACTCCAGCACCAAGCCGAGGAGAAACATCTCCTCAAAGAGCTTTTTTTGTAGATCATTCAATTCTTCCAGAGAAAATGCAGAAAGTGCAACTAGCTAAAGTATGACGCACCAGCACCATGGCTGTCTAAATTGAAGTGTCCCCAAGTGGTTTCCTTGAACTGTTATCGGTGCACTTATGGCACCGCCGCATTTTCATCATCATTTGTCATTGCGGCCTGTGGTGTAATGATGCGTTGGTGAGAAAAAACGAGAACACAACTGGGATATCGGACCGCATGACCTTGTTTTTTTTGCATTGGCTTTTGTCCTATGTTTGGTCTCCTCCCTTTAGGTCTCCGCCCACTTTCAATTTAATGGAGACATTCAAACATGCTACGTAAACACTGGTCAGATTCTGCCCTAGTGCCCAGGCGAACATAAGAAGGCCCCACACTGGCCCACTGTCGCTATGAGTCACGCCTTTCATATACAGTCAAGTTGTCCAGGGTCATCGAATCTTGATAAGAAAAATGGAGGCCGGTTGCTTGCGTTTCTTTTGTTAGGGACATTGCCCGAGTTTTGTGAGGAGCCCCTTTTTTGAGAAGAAGACTCCAAGGTTTGATATAGCGACAGGACGATTTGTTCCTCAATCTTCTGAAAGGTCCTTAATTTCTTTGCTCCGCCTAGATCTGAGCATCCCTGAATCTTCTCAAACATCTTTAGTCTTTTTGATTCTTCTGTTTTTTAATCAATAGTCGTTGTCTTTTTTGTTTTTTGTTCGGCACTCCAGCACCAAGCCGAGGAGAAACATCTCCTCAAAGAGCATTTTTTTGTAGATCATTCAATTCTTCATGAGCAGAGAAAATGAAGAAAGTGCAACTAGCTAAAGTATGAAGCACCAGCACCATGGCTGTCTAAATTGAAATTTTACCAAGTGGTTTCCTTGAACTGTTATCGGTGCACTTATGGCACCGCCGCATTTTCATCATCATTTGTGATTGCGAACGAGGGCGGGAAGCTACTAAGAACACAAAACCTGCGTCGTGGCCCGCGCGATGCGACGACAAAACCGAGAAAACCAGAAAACCGAGAAAACCGAGAAAACCGTTTTTGCGTTTTCCTGTGTGGAAGCTTTTTCCAGTTTGCTTACGTCTTCTTGCTTGTCTTGCCTTTGAGCGTGAAAACCGCAACCAAGAAAACCGGCAAAACGAGAAAACCAAGACAACGGTTTTCATCGTTCTCGCCGTTTTCCCGTTTTCGCCGTTTTCGCGTTTTCGCCGTTTTCGCGTTTTCGCCGTTTTCGCCGTTTTCGCGTTTTCGCCGCTTTCGCCGTTTTCGCCCGTTTGCGTATTTTTGTCGTTTTCGCAATTTTCGTAGTTTTCGCCGTTTGTGTCGGCTTCGCGGCGCAGTCGTTGTTTTCTTAGTCTTCGCCACTTTCGAGGGTTTTCAATTATGCTCCTTAGTTGTGCACTAAATCTCAACGGTTGAAGTTTAAGTTCAATTCACGAATCTTAGTAAATAGTTCAGTGAATCAGAATGATCTTAATCTCCAATCCAAAAGGAATATCACCTCATCACAGGCACTACGCATGAACGACCAGATAACGTGACCAAGTCTATCCAGAGGGAACCCAGGGATGAAAGAAAAACAAGAATCAGACGACGTCCATTCCTCTCCATCAAACTGAAGAGCCGTGGCATGCCTCATGGCTCTCCTTGCGCGGAATCGACGAGCTCTTGTGACGCAAGGACAGATTGGAAACCAAGGGCTTGCGATGGACTCTAAGTTAGTTCAGTGGGGCTTGCCTTCCTGACAGTTCAAGAATTACCCGTGAACACTTTGTATTTTGTTTCAATAGACTGGCCTGGGCACATGCAAACAGCAGCTAAGATCAATCGTTGATGGTTGGGATAAGCCGCCCCAGCCAAGGCATTCCCGAGCTCCAAGGCTAAGTTCTCCAGCACACATCTCCCATTGTATGCCTTGCAAGTCATTAAGACATCTCCAGTTTTCTTCTTGACCTCGGCTAAATATATAGCTAGACGCTCACGCTGAAACAGGGTAGTTGGATGTTAACAAGCCAAGATTCTAGCCTGGTGGTGAAGGGCGGCTGCGAAGAAAAGATGCAAAGAGTATAAGGCACAGACCTTCCATGCTTACTTACCATAACAAACCCGATCGTCAGGACCGAGCGAGGCCCGAATTCACGTCCGGGTTCTGGCGGCGCATTGTGTCCTATCGGGCCCCGCGCAGCTACTGCTCGAACACACGTTGAGCCGCCTGGCGCAACAAAGGTGGACCGATTTCAAGGCCGCCCTAAAGAGCGCACTTGTTTCAATCTTGTGTCTTCCGATCCTGCACGATTTTGCCATGCCATGGGCTCCATGGACATAAGCCAAAACAAGGGATGCCATATTTTTGGTCGACAGCTGTCGGCCAGACCCAAGCAAAGCAAGATGCGCCTGGTTTAGAACAAGAAAAGATATACATTTATGGAGTGTTGTAGATTCAAAGTTGTGCTGTAGATCCTGTAGGTGGTCAATGTGGGAAAGGAAACAAGATCAGAACACTATTGTAGTTGTCAGTGCCTAGCTTATGTACACTATATACACATACAAATATATATATATATATATACATATACATGTATCTATATACATAGTTTACATGAGTGTTTAGCCGAAAAGGGCCGATTCAGGGCCTTCATGGGCCTTCCACTTCCACCGATACGTCGACAAAGACCCAAATTTTTTTGGTGGGAAAAAGAGATCTTGTCTTGTTGGGGAGAAGAGCCAGCGATCTGGAGAATGCCTCAGTGTTCCATCTATTTGGGACCTTCAAGGCAACCCCATCTTTGTCGTGGTGGTGGAGGACGCCAGTCGCTCTGAACCGCTGGCCAATCGCTTTGTGGAGGGTGGTCATGTGGCCATCGTCTTGCAGTGAGGACTGATGCGTCTAGTGTCCTGCGAACCGTTTTGAGCAGTCCTGATTGGGGTGTAGGCTCCCCCAAAGGCGCACGGTGCATCCACTCCAATAGAGAGCTCGTTGGAATTCGCGCAAAAGAAGATCGGGGCAGCGTCATGGGAGGAAGGATTGAGGAAGGTGATCCCTAAGTTTCGCCGTCTTCTTGCTTCTCTTGCCTTTGAGCGTGAAAACCGCAACCAAGAAAACCGGCAAAACGAGAAAACCTAGAAAACGGTTTTCGTCGTTCTCGCCGTTTTCCCGTTTTCGCCGTTTTCGCGCTTTCGCCGTTTTCGCCGTTTTCGCGCCGATGCGGTGTTCGAGAAAACCATGAGCTGTGTCAAATCCAGGCACTTTGTTTCCGCCGTTTTCCCGTTTTCGCCGTTTTCGCGTTTTCGCGGTTTTCGCGTTTTCGCGTGGCCTGCCCCCGCATCACCGGGGGCCGAGACACACGTTTCGTATGCACAGCTCTGCTAGAGCCCTTCAACATCTCCTTGTTTTCTTGCTGAATTGAACACAGTGGAAGATGAAAGGGCTGGTTCTGGGGGAAGGTGGAAGCTTGCAAAATCAAACAATGGATTGTTTGCAACCAAACCATCCTAAATCCTAAATTGCCAGGCCATTCTGTGCCAACATTCGTCGGGGTTGGTGGGAGCGTGTATTTGGGCATAGTTTACATGGGCCACAGGGAAAAGACGATGGTAGGGCTGCTACATCTTGTGGAAGGAACTGTTTGTAAGAAGAGCTCCAGTCCTTTTAGAAACAGCTTGTCAGCATCCTGTGTCATGGAAGACGTCTCAAGAGGATCGCGGTTTACGGCAAGGGTTGAAATTGGGTGCGCACATCCAGCTGTGTCTGAATACCTTTCTGTGTTCGATTGGAACGTTTTGACGCCAGACTCCAACAAATTGCTGCGCCATCGGCATCTCGCCTGTAAAACAAGCAGCCTTTAGTTGACTGTAAGCCCACGCGCAAGCCAAGCATCTGTGCTTACCTGGGATCACACGAGCCTGCTTCCCTGCCGCCGACAGAGGCATTGAAAATCGACCGAGTTTTTACGATTGCATTTTGGCATAAATTGGTGGCTTTGGGAGGGCATATGGCAGCACAAACATGGTCACAAAGGTAGAACTGCTATGCAAGTGATGCTTACATTGTGAGGTCGCATTACCAACTTTTTGAGTTTAAACAATTGGATGGTTTACTTTATTGCCTGATTTTCCTTCAGAGCTTGAGCTTGGTGTTTTTCTTCGCTCGGAGGTGTCGTTCCAGCACGGATGTGTGTGTCGACGTCGACGTCTTCACGATATCGGGGGGCGGGTGGGGATAGCTATGGAGCGGACATTTCAATTTATAAGTGCTTAAGAGCTTCAGATGCCAAGTGCAGTTTCGGCAGAAAGTTTGGATGGATTTGGCCGGGTTTCGCCTTAAGCCCGTCGTGCAGACCGATCAGAGGTGCCCATGTGCTCACATGCGCTGAACGTGTCATCCATGGGCGCAGTCGGTTGGGCATTGGGCATGTCTGTCATGTCCTAGAGGTTTGTGTCTTTCAGTGGACTGTGTGGCATTGCTTCCGATTGTAGATCCTTAATAGCGTTTGTTTTCATAAATTGTGTTCGGGTTCTATCACCTTAAGAACTGAATTTGATTGATGGTGAATGGCAATGGCAGGCCCATGTACATGTGGACGTCTCCGGCCAGGAGCTCATTGTGTTCGGACGAAGCTACATGAGCGAATGACATGTATCGATGCCTTTATTTTTGTTGTGTGTGTTATATTGTTGGTTTGAAGAAGAAAACGCATCAGTCAAGCAGTTTGCGCAGCAATTTCGTTTGTGCAATTCATACTTCCGAGCTTCCTGCTCTCGAAAAAGGGGTGGTATGAAATCAACTCGGCGTCAAGCTATTTGGATTGCAAGTGAAAGGACCAAGAAACTGGAACAGACTGAGCTTTCTTGGCCTTCTCGAAAGTAAATAGCCGCAAAGGCGCAAAGGCCTTGCTGGCCTTGCCCGTTCCGCCGTCCAAAGGCCTATAGGCAGCCTGTCACATCCGGGTTTATCGCATCTGCTCAGCCGAGGTTTCAACCTGCACGAAGCTACAAAAGAAGGTAAGATTGGCATTCTCAAAGCCCTGCTGGATGGCGGTGCTGACAAGGACGGGTTTCGCCTTGGCAGAACCCCTCGCGATCGGAATTGACATGAACTGTTCATTTGGCTGTGGTGTTCAGTTTTCTTGACAAGAGTGTCAGGAAGAGTCCGAAAAGCAGTGCCAAGTTTGGCAGCTGCCTCAGTGACTCAAGTCTTCTGCCTGGCAGACACTCGAAGGCATTCCCCAAGTCGCGTGGGTCATTGACACTGGCCAATCTGCGTCGAAGTAGTTTGATGGAAAGTCCTAGTTGCTAACTGCTCACAAACTCTCAGATATCATGTCCAGCCATGGACGCAACTTTTCACATCAGGACACGGGCAAGTGTATTGCTAGCTTCTTTGTTGCAAGCAGCCAAGAACCATAGTTTCCTTGTAAAAAACAGATCATGATCACCTTTTTAGAGCACTTTTTACAATTTTTCCATTCACCAACTTCGCCATCTTTGACCGACCACAGATGGCGGACATTCGCCCTTCCGACCTTTCAGCTCCGCTGGAAACGTCGCTCGACGCTTCAAGCGGAGCGAGCGGTCGCTCGACGGAACCGAGATGGTCTCCGACGGAGAGAAGCGAAGCGAAGCGCTTCGCGGAAGAACAGCCCGGGACCCCGGTTTTTCTATGTTTTGTGGGTTCAAATGATTTTAGACACGAGTGGGGTCAAAAGTTGAAACCATACGTCCTGTCATGTGTACCCCGATGTCATCGGGCCGCCTGTGGCGAGGGCCTAATAGGTGCTTATCCGTCCACTAAATGGGGTTCGTGCCCGTCTAAGACTCTACTGTCAGATCGTTTGATTGACTTGGGCCCTGGGCCGCCCTTGGCCCTGGGGCTTCTTGAAGGCCTGATGCATCATGATGCCCAGGTGGAATGGGATATATTTGGATAAGTCAGGATCATTCTTACATGTTTGCATGTTCGACTTTTTCGCGCCAGTTTTCAGCCGTTTGGGCCTAAGATGTCCGTAGCAGCTAGGGTTTTTTCACGCAGCTTCCAGCAGGCGCCCCACGCTTCGTGCGTGGGCCTTCCGTACTGAGGGGCCACAGGTTTTTGGCCTAGAAACAACGGGAAAAGCAGTTGTTCGGTTGCTTAGTTGCTTCATGTTGCTTGCACTTTTTAAAGTGTTAGAGCAGTTGGGAGGGGTCCACCAAGTCCTGTTTTCGTGAGGATGTGTGAGGATGCTGGATCTCATGTTGGCAGCATTTTTGGAGACCCCTACTTCTCAAGAAACACAGTCCGGCTTGGCTGTGGGTCTCAAAGGGCGTCTTCACAATTTTGGCTAAAAATGCTGCAGACCGCAGAGAGCTCCGCGCGAGATGCACTGGAGATATGAATCCGTTCACATCCTTTCATTGGTCTGCAAAAATGGTGGATTTACACTCTGACCCACTAACATGGAAGTGGAATATAGGCCCCGGGAAGACCATATTGCTCTACGAACTGGGGTTTTTTCCACGTCCATGTTAGTGAGTGGGAGTGCACATGGATTTACACTACTTTGATGGACTCCCTAATCCGACAGGTTGGATGCAATTCATGGCGCCAGGTTGATTCAGTGATTCAGGCTGATTTGCTCTCCCGAAGTAATTTAGGTGGACCTAGACTAGGGCAATCTAATGACTCCACACCGAAGAAACAGGTATATCAGATGTGCATAGTATAAGCAACTTTACAGGCTCCAACCACATGCTTGGAGGTTGGGGTGCCAGGCAGGTCTAAGTAACTTCCGAGAATGTGCTTGGAGCCCTATTGTATGCTTTGTACATGTTAGCTTTCGTTTCTTCCATCTGGATGTCATGCAGGCATTGTGATGCAAAAAGGTCACGATGGCTGCGGACAACGACACTCGGCTGTCCAGAATCGACGGAAAGCTACAGTGAGATGGCCAAGCATAGCCAAAACAGCGCTAGATCGACCGAGCACGGTGCTCAAAGCTGTTTGACTCACAGGGCGACCGGGTCACGACCGGGTCGACGACTCGACTCGAAGAAGATGCACCCAACATGACGGAATGGACCATGCGGTGGCGGTGAGCTTCGTGGAAGGTTCCGTTTTGGGCAGGTTCCGTGTTGTTACGCATGTTGTTATCATTCTTAGACTGGACATGACCAAGCAAAAATACCCTGGACCAGCTTGTTGAGGACCAGTCTGGGGAGCAGAATTCAACATGTAACAAAAACAGACCTGCGCAACCCGGGTCCTAAGGACTACTAACTAATCCAGTGTGTGGAACCTCTCCACAGACCAATTGCCGGCAAAGGGCGGGAGATGTTCTGTTGGATGTGTTCGGCTGCGGAAATGCCGATGTTCATCGCAGTGCCATCGTCTTGGGTTTCCGGTCTCAAGCTGATGCAACTGTACCAAGAGCTGCAATTTCGATTGTTTCACGCAATAGTGCCCATAAGGGGTGAATGTTTGCGTTAAAAAGTCTTAAAGCAGTGTATGTGTTGGGTTTGTCCCATTCCCTGTGACCGTCAGTAACCAGTACTATGATTGAGAAAGGCCTGCATCCAGGCCCCATCATCATCCGCTGTGCCCTGAATACACATGGATAGACCCAACGTATATAATATATATATATAGACATATATATACTAGGAACAAGAACGCTACGAACGGGGCTCCTGGCATCGCATCGCACAGCGAACGGAGCGATCGGACCGCTGTTCCGGGAGCTGCGATCGGCTCCTATGGAGCGATGAAAACGGCGATGCGGTCACTCAGCTGTTGACCTGAGGGCGGTCCAGATCGACGTTCTCGATTGACCTGAGGGGGCTTGACATCGATCACCTGCCCATGTAGCGAGAAATAGCCTATAGCTTTCTAGTGATTCTAGTAAGTCATAGTCATACACTATATACGCATTTATACGCTGTAGTTAAGGCATTATTCTAGGGCCATTCATGGTACAGGGTGCATGTTGCCATGTGTTGAATTTGTCACATCCGTGGTCCGCTTCCAAGCCTTATTGACAGGAAGAATGGGCCACAGTGAGTGTGGAAGACTTGCGGAGCATCAACGTCGATGAAATCTCCTTCGAGGCTGCGCAGGGCTGTGGTCAGGATTCTGGAGAAAGTAGAAAAGTATTCTTGCAATGCTGCTAGTTGGTCCAGATGATTGACTTATGACTCAAACAAATCATCATCTACGATTTGTATGGGAGTTGGGTGCTGTAAAATAAAATACTGTACCTATATGGCTAAATATGAGTGCACTTCTTCGTGTCCCCAATGCCAAAAGTATTTTGGGTTGGCCCGTATCGACTTCCAGTTTTTTTTAGAATGTAGGCAACGAGATCCTTTCAGTCAGAGAAGAGTATCGGTATGGGGTGGCCCCCTATTGGTTTTGCAAGGATTTGATGAATGCAGAAATTGATAGAAATTCTAAAGGCGGCTAATGACTAAAGTGCATATGCGGAAGTTTTGTCGGATGGTCCCAAACTCCATGGAAACAAGTGACACAAATTGAAGAGTTGCTTCACGAGTTTGTGTAACAAGTCCGAGTCCACCAAAACAGATGTGTCCTCCAAAATGAACGTGTTTTTGCTGGCTACACTTTGGGAAGGTGCACTACGCTAGCAAAACCAAATGGGTTGCATCAAACTTGCAGTGGTGTTGCGTAACATGTTGCTAGGACTTGCAGGCCCAGTTTTGCTGTGATGGCCCCAAAAGTAAAAAGAACCTGAGGAAATTCCACCACTTCCACAAGGTTGATACGAGCTATCAATTCCCGCTTGATCATAGAGCAAGGTTGCTTCTGACTGTGCACTCTTTTGGACGTGAATCATAACGCATAGGGCTCATCAGCATCACACAATTGTACAATATTTGGCTTTTACAAGCTTCTTTTGTGTGGTTTCGAAGTAGTTCTTTGTACATGTGCCGTCGAAGCTCTATTGTCTCAAAACCCCTTTACTTGCGACATCTAGCGCCTCTTCCTGTGTGTTTGAATCTTCTATTTTCAAGGTTTTCCTCTCCTCATTTTTATTGCGTTCAGTTCTTTAGTTCTTCCCCTATGTAATTGTATATATAAACTTATTAAATTATACTTGTTAATTTAATGTCCAATGTCATGTTTGTGTGGTACTTAGCTCATCTCACCTCCTTAGCAAATTCTTCCTGGTCTTAGTTGTCTTTGTCTTGCTCCAGCAGCTTCTCTAGTTCTTGAGCAACTCTTTTGAGAGCTTCCTATTCTCAGTGGCTTTTCTTTTGTGCTCAGTGCTTGTTTCTTTCACATAGTGTTTCTCCTTCTTAGAGTTACTACTCTTCTTTAAAAAAACCTCAGTAGCTCAATGAGGCTCAATAAGAAAGACAATAGGTACCTGAGAAAAGAAAATGACAAATCATCAGGAATTGGCAGAGCTAGTAAGAAGCGTGTTGACTATTGAGAGCTAGGCTGGAGGATAGCATTGCTCAAGGCTAAAGAAGACCAGACAAAAAAGCGCTGATCAAGGATGGAAGGGCTGGCTTTCAAAAAACAACATAAACAACTCAGTAGCAAGGGGCATTCGTAGCTAGTGATACCGCAGTGTATCTATTCCAATTCAGATTGACAGAAAAGGCAGATCATCTTTTCAAGAGGAGAAGCGAATCAAAACAAATTTAAAATGGGAATAGTATATAGACGAGAAAGGGACAAGCTATTCACACAAGAGAACACATTGAATTTGTAGGAACAGTGGATCTAATGATCCACGTTGGTTTCCTTGGTGTTCTTGTTTCTGGCTCATGCGTGTAGCGATAATGTGAGGATGCAGTTATACGTACGGACCTCACTGTGTTTTCCTTTCTGTATTACAACGTATTTATTTCAGATACATTTGCTTCTATGCAACGTCCGAATCTACTGTAAATACCAGTAAACAGTTCAAGTAATGACTTTCCAAGTCAAAGGAATAACACTCTTTTTTCCCGGAGGTTTTGAAGCGAAACGAACTTGCATGTTGAGTTGCAAAGTGTCGCGAATTAAGAGCAATTATCATGAACAAAACTCTTGGCTGCAAGAACACTTTTCGGATCTTTTTCCTCACATTGCTAGCAAAATCAACGTTTCGCATCTTCGGACAAATTGATGCGCCGTCAAAGACACTTCTTTCTCTTTGCAAGTCATTACAACCTATTGAACACACCAACAAAAAACCACAAACACAGACAGGAAAACAACGAAAATACAGCGGGCACACAGTTGCAGCGAGCATACAGTCCCTTGTTTCTCAAGGCAAAGCGGCCACTCGTCGCAAACCTATGTCCCACGATCTCACGGTCCCACGGGTGACGAGTGCTGCTTTATGTTTTGTTTTAGCACCTTTTTTGGGGCAAGCATGAGACATCATGAGACCGTCTTCCTGTGGCTTTATTTTGATCAGCTGGACAGGAGCACATATATAGACTTGGTGTCCATGCTGAGATTGGCACCTCCCACAGGGTTTGGGCAAGAGAACCTGTGGACCAGTGGTATACTTCCGTCGCAGTATGTAGCTTGATTGGGTGGCCACCATGTCATAGGTTTCCGCCCATGTCGCAGTCAAGCAAATCATGTGGCGTGTGTGTGTGTATACATATATGTTGTGTGTAAAAACCAGCGACGCCATGCGAATTCAATTCTTGGATTTTCGGAAGAGGATGCCTCGACTTGTTTGCTTCACCTTTCATCGGTCTTCGATCTCCGGTGGGTCCCATCCGGTGGGTCTCGTTCACAGGCGGAGAGCCCAACTGATTCACCTCGTGCTCAAGGCGATGCGCAGGTCGTCAGCATCGATGTCGATGAACTCTTGAACCTGGAGTACATTGAGGCTTTCCGAAGAGATGGACTTTTGATGTTGACAGTTGAATCCCATTGAGGGGCCTTTGAACGATGAAAGAAGTGACAAGGAGACAAGGTAGGAACAACATCGATTGGCAGCATTTGGAGTCTCTGCCATAGGCTGCTTGTCCTTGACAAAAGGATTTGGCGGCTAGGAACATGATGTTTCGACATGTGTCTTAGTGTTTGGTTGAAGCATTGCCATAGTTGCTAGAAAATCTTTGCCGGAGAGGAATGTTGTGAGAAGCCCGATCTCATTTGGTTCGTGACGATGACAGGTGACAGCTCTATGCCAACAAGTCTTTGTCCATAATTTTGGATTTGTATATATATAGTAGAATAACACAGCTGATGAGCTGTTTGCAATAGTTTTGTAGAATGTTCTGCCCACATGCGGTTGTTGGGCTCACTTGGGAACAACTGCTCAAGGCTTGTGGGCCCTCAATTTTAAGGCCATGAATTGCACCAGTTTTTGGGCCAACCCAAGATACTGATTCCTGGGCCTGCGCCAGGAAGATTGTGGAGATTCACCCAAACCGCCCGTTCTGGAAGGCACGGACGGCATCTGCACGGTGAAAAACGAGCGGCCGTGCAACGTGGAGATGTTGCATCCGAAAGCCCTGGTGTGCTTTTCAGATTGGTGCCTTGATGGTGAGAAGTTCTCTTGGCGGATTTGGATGACCATCTGCTACCTGTTTGCCTTTGGACTAAGCCTCTCCTTGATCGTGCTTTGGGCCTATGTGTTTTTCCCGTTCCAGCTTCCACAGGTGGGATTTTGGGAGAATTGGATCTTCAACTTCGTCGCGCACCCTGTGGGAAACTACATTGTGGCCCGCGCGCCAATGGGATGGTTTGCGCGGCAAATCATGTGGCACCTCCAAAGCGATCGCTCTTTGGGAAGCTCAGAGGGTCAACCATGACCTTTTCAACTGTTTGACCTGGATGTCCAACAAAACCAACATGTCGTTGAGGGATTCCAACATAGTTGTTATTTTCCCAAAGCATCATATAGTGAGATAGATCATCTAGTGAATATGTTTATTCTCTTAGTAGTTGGCAAAGCAGAATGGCCAAACTTCCATGTGATGTGGCTAAGCGAGGAAAGGAACAAAGACGAGAGATCACCAAACGCCTACAGAGATGCTTGCGTTGGGTGCCTTTGGTTGATTCGCTGTGGTGTGCCACTGAGCACATTATTTTTGCAGGGTTTCATATCTTTCCTGTTCCTTTCGCGACGGTGCTCTCCTGCATTCCAGCGGCCTGGGTGAGCATGGCGGTCTTCTACCGGGTTCTTCCAAGCGAAGCGCGAACACTTCCAAGCACGTTGGACTCCTTAAAGTTCACCATGTGCGCCTGGATGGGCTATTGCACGACTTTTATTGTCATGCTCTTCTACACCGCCTTTTTCCCCACAGCCACTACAGAAGTACAACTGGCCATGAGCTGTTCTATTGCTTTTCTGGAGTCTCTTCTGCAAGAAAAACGACTCAAGAGTCTTTGCGGTCGAGAAAGGCCTCCGTAGCACAAGGTTCCATCAACAACACGTGGAACATTCACGTGAGGGTCTCATTCCGCCCACCGTTTCATTTATAGTGACATCTGACATGACCTGTTTTTTTACATATTCTATCATTTTCCATAGAATTGATGCATCGCTCAATTTCGCCAGGAATGGTTGGTGGTGAAGGTTGTCTTCGGTCTGGGGAAGCACTGGCGAGTACCAGAGCATTTGATGCGAGAGATGCGTACGGCTATGCGACTGCCTGTGACTCGTTCGGCCATGGATTTCACCACGACCGGTTTACGTCCGGAATAGCTAAGCCACATCACCGTGACACGGATTCTCGTAATTTATGAAGTGCGGAAGCTGCCAATTACAGATATAGAAAACGTTTCATTGGGCCCCCCCTGATGGGGGTGACAATTCTTGATTTTATAGAGATTCTGTGTGTTTTTGGACATGTTTCAAGAACCTGTACCAATTTTGTGCAGCCTCATGATGCCTCATGAAGATGTCCATCGAGAGATCGATGTTTAAACAACATGAAAAGACATCAAAGGAAGGCTGGCTTTACCTTGGCTCCAAAAAAACCGCATCAAGGTTTGGAACTTCACATTGTGAAGGCAAGAACTTGTTCAAGGAGAACATAAGGTGATTGGGTTATTTTATGTAATTCCTGTTTGGGTCAGACAGTTCAATCTGTATATATATATATACCTCAGATGGTCAACCGGACAATTTTATATCTATTATAAAATGGCTCCCACACACTTTGACTTTGGTTTTCAGTTACACTCAGTTCCCAAGCTGAGAAGGAAGGTGAGAGAACGGAAAGGTGGCAGAGTCCGCGGAAAAGTATTGTTTAACATTGTTCACCAGTGCACTTTAGTTAACTACGATTACTGCAATTTAGACCTTGACTGAAAAAGAAGTGCTGAGTCCGTCGAACAGTATTGTTGAAAAACGTCGAGTTAAACAATTGAAAGGCAGGTATGTCAGTGCTGGCCGGGCACTGATATCACATCCACTTGGTGCGGTCTTTGTTAGATGAGGCACACCAAGGGATCCTCATCCCCCTGCTTTAAATTAAACTCAACCCTTGGAAACAGGGTTTGGCACACACACGGTGCCGCTTCGCGGCGCGCATGTGAAAGACCTGAATAGTCACCTAAAAAGCCGTAGAAACAAAAGAAAAGAAAGACAGAAAGAGCAGCGCTAAGAGGGCAAGAAAGAAAGGTAGGTGTAGAAAAGTGAATACTTAGCCCTTGACTGGGGTAGGGAAACGAGCCTCAAGAGCAACCTAAAAAGCCTGAGAGGAAGCCCAACAAACGACGAAAAGCGCAAGAAGGAAAGCGGGGGGGCAGGGAGGGGCTGTATGTCCATGTGTGTGTACATGTGTGTGTGTCTGAATACCTAGCACTCTAGAGTTACTGATTACTTAGCAGAGATGAATTAAGTGCGATAGCTAGGGAGCGGGACTTTAGTCTTAGACCGCCCGGGTAGGAAAAACTAGAACAGGAACAACACAGGGAAAGGCACCGACACACAAGTGTGTCGAGTACCATTTCCCTATGTTGCCCTAATTCGGTGGGGAGTAGAACTCGGCTGGGGGGGGGGTTGGGAAACCTGCCTGACTGCCTGACTGCGGGTGGAGTACCGTTTTAAAGCCCGGCGGCTATGGAGTCCCGTGTTTTGGCCCGGCGGCCGTTGAGGCAGTTAATTCGGTGGAAGTGGAGGTGAATTCCAGTGGATTCCGGTGAGCGGTGGTGAGTTCCGTTAGTGATTTCCCAATGAAACGGCGCCTCCTTGCGGAGGATCACACTCAGCACCCGAGTGGGACGGCTGAGCGAAACACACTTTGACTTTGGTTTTCAGTTACACTCAGTTCCCAAGCTGAGAAGGAAGGTGAGAGAACGGAAAGGTGGCAGAGTCCGCGGAAAAGTATTGTTCAACATTGTTCACCAGTGCACTTTAGTTAACTACGATTACTGCAATTTAGACCTTGACTGAAAAAGAAGTGCTGAGTCCGTCGAACAGTATTGTTGAAAAACGTCGAGTTAAACAATTGAAAGGCAGGTATGTCAGTGCTGGCCGGGCACTGATATCACATCCACTTGGTGCGGTCTTTGTTAGATGAGGCACACCAAGGGATCCTCATCCCCCTGCTTTAAATTAAACTCAACCCTTGGAAACAGGGTTTGGCACACGCACACACACCCTGTGGTATGTTACGTACATTTACCCCATCCAAATGACTCCGAGTCCTTTTTTTTCCACTGACTGGGCTTGTCCGACAACTCGCCGCACAAATTCCCCGAAAAAGATACCAAAGAGTCCGATTCTCGCGGCCGTTGCTTTCCAGGGTCCAGAATGGAACTTCCCGGGCACATTCATTGGAATGCGGCAACATGTGGTTGGTGTTTAATTACCGCAGGTGCTTTGAGGCAAAGAAGTGAACTTCATGTTCCGTGTGCTTGCGTAGGCATGACTGGGTAGGTGCCCATAACGCCTTCAGGCGCCTGTGGCTGATATGTGAAAACCTGCCACAGTGACACAGTGGAATTCTTCAGTGTGTTTTCACATATGAGCCACAGGCTTCTATGGGATTGGGTGGGGGTCTAATGACGTTGGTTTGGATGTGCTTTGAAGATGATGTGACATGCACGCACGCTTTGGAAGGTTGGGATGTCAATGTTCGGTTCTAAGTTCCCACCCATACATTAGAAACTCTTCTACGCTATGCAACACAATGCGACTGACTTTGAGTGGCGGAAGGCCTGTCGCTGGAAGTGAAAGGAGCGAAGTGGGGCCGCACATCGGAAAGTGTCGAGATTGACGACCCCATTTTTCCTATATGTTCTTGCGACGGTCCTCCTGACTGGGTTTCGACTCTCATCTCCCACCCACGGGCGCCTGTAACCTACGTCTCGGTAGCTCTTGGAATTTGTCAGGAAGCAACCTGGTGCAAGGCTTAGTGCGTAGGGCTTGTGTATCCTGCGTAAGGCGAGAAGTTCACCCAGAAAAAAATGAAAGACCAGGAGTCACAGGGCTCGGGCTGGTTTGGCTCATCCCATCCAGAGGTCGTGGCTGTGACAGGGGCATTTATGGGCACCCCTAGCCTAACCTTCCTCCGTTCGGAACTCCTGTGACGACCCTTCTGGCACCCACCCCAGTCCCACCTTCCAACTGTTTGTTAAGACTGCCAGGTGATCGTCTTCAAAGCCATGATCCTTTCAGATGCCTGGCGTGCCATCGATGTATCGTTCGATTTAATCCAACAAGTCTCCGAGTCCCCTTGAAATGAAACCACACTGGCACTGGTAGACATCGTGTTAGAGTCTCTGGAGGAGTTTATTGTTTTGGATGGTGCAAAATTTGGAAAATCAGTTTTCAGCACATGAAGACAGAGAAGCAACTGGCTTTCAGGGTGTTTCCCATCTCGAAAACAAACTACCCGAGACCGGGCAAATTTGTGTGGACCGATGTACATGTCCAACATGTTTTGTGAGCCCACAAATGGACGTACCATTGAAACTGAGAAAAGAATGACTTGGCGCCTTTCGGGGTGTGCGCCAGACCGGGAGGCGGGCGGAGGTTGGGAGAGGGGGCCAATTGGGAGGTGGTGTTTTTCTGTGTGAAAGAAGATGGATTGTACGGTCCGGCAGAGAGTTCGAAGGGCGGATCTAGGTGGATCACGGATGACTCACACCTTATATAGTACTTGATTTGCGTCGCCACGATTCCATTGTTTACTGCAGTTTCACCAAGGTGTGTATCGCAATTTTTTGAGGATTCTGGATTTCTCATTTGGGTCTATTTGACACTGTCCTTTTGTGTTTTTCTTTGAGGTAGACTTCACGGGTCTCAGGTTCGAAGCATAGTCCAGCGCTGCTCAGGAAGCGAAGGGTATCGTGGTCATTGCCAGCATGATTGTGCCTGAAGTCATTGCCGTATTTAGCTCGTTCGTGGTGGTGGTCATTGATTTGACCTCCGAACCTTGGTCTTAAAACGTGGTTTTGGTTGTGGTGGTGGTCATTCAACCCTGTTTCCCAGGTCCGCAGGAATGCGTCGGCCCCTGGTGTATGCTGGTTTCCTTTTAGCCATTGTTCGGGCGTTCCATCAATCAACAGTCATTCCCCACATTGATGTGTGGGGCTTTTGTTTTTTGTTTTTATTGTGGTATCCGCTCCTCCTCCTCCTGCCTCCCGCTTGCCACCAACCAAAATTACCACCAACTAATTGTCACCAACCACTTGTCATCAACCGATTGTCATCAACCATCAATTCTCACCAACCAAATGCTACCCACCAATTGCCACCAACTATTCTCACTAACCAATTGTCCCCAACCAGTTGTCATCAATTAATTGTCGCCATCCACCAATTGTCACCAAGCAATTGTGATCAACAAATGATTTGCTTGCCACTTGTCTTCTCTAGCAGGCCGGATGTACGCCCCGGTGTTGGCTGGTGCTGGCCGGCGCTGGCCGGGGCTGGTGGGTCTCCGCCGCTGTGCCGCTGTGATTTGCGCGCTAATTGTCTTCTCCAGGGGGGTCGGATGTACGCCCCGGCGCTGGCCGGTGCTGGCCGGGGCTGCTGGGTATCCGCTGCTGTGCCGCTGTGGTGCGAATTGTCTGGTGCTGGCCGGTGCTGGTGGATATGCAGACATACGCGGACATGCGACAAACCATCAGGCCACCACCAAACTTTGACCACGCTCATCCCTCCAATTGTCACCAACCAACTGCCACCAACTAATTGTCACCAAACACTTGTCATCAACCGACTGTCATCAACCAATTGTCACCAACCAATTGTCACCAACAAATTGTCACCAACAAATTGTCACCAACCAATTGTCAACAACAATTGTCCACCAACCAATTGTCATCAACCATTTGTTTTCTCCAGGGGGTCGGGCCCGGTGCTGGCTGGTGCTGGCCGGTGCTGGTGGGTCTTTGCCCTTCTTGAAGGGTTATTTTTGAGGGCCTGTGTTTTTAAAAAACATGGTCCTCAACCAATTGTCACCAATCAATTGTCACACCAACCCATTGCCACCCACCAATTGTCACCAACCACCTACGCAGACATTCTCTCTTGCTAAGTTGCTAACATGTGGGGTTATCCGGTCCCACAATTTTTTGATGTGGGTTTTTTAGGACATCCAATACGTCACCAGCTGCAGAAAACGCGAGACCTCATTCCGGGTGGCGTTCTTCGCGAGACCGATGGCAACGGCTGCCTTGTGATATGTTCTAGCTTGTGAGAGGGATGAGGCCAAGTAAGTTTGGGGGTTCAGAAGTCTCCAAGAATCTTGCCAGCAGTGTTGCTAGGTGAAGAATACAAATTTGCACCTAGTCAGACTGGTGCTGCTTTAGGCCCTTTGTTGAGATTTCGGCATTCCTTCGTGGGGTGAAGAAGGGATGATATCTAAAGATGATGGGATTGATCTCTTTAGGGATACCAACACGTCAGATAGAATTGTATATAATGATCCTGAAGTATACGAAATCGGAGGTGCCAACTACTGGTGAGCATCTTCCATCCTCCGGAATCGATATCTTGGAATACTTACACTCGAATTGGGAAACAACCTGTGTGTAAGGGAAAATCGTCTGGGCCAAGGGACAATTTTACACTCCCATGTTAGTGAGTCAGAGTGTACGTAATATACACGATGCAAGTATATAAAAGTAAAATGCAGCCTGGAAAACTAGGATTGGTATGGATTTGTCCATCAGACCTGCGCTGGCATTCCACATAGACCCATCATTCTGTTCGCAAGAGCAGATGGTGAGGGCCTTGTCCCAAAGTGAGATTGATGCACTGCAGGACGCACTTTTTCAGAATGAGCATCCATTCAACCTACGAAGGGCCTTTCTATTCGAAGATATTAATATTTGTATTACAATTCCAGAAACACAGGAAAATCCACTTGAACATTAATTAGTTTCAAGTCCTTTGGAGACAATAGCCAGTTCTTCATTTTATAGGTGCCGGGAATGTTTCGGACCCCAATGCTCCAGACCCGATGCTAGGAGACCAACAAATTGAGACTGACTCATCTTCGATCCAGTCGGCAATTGGTGCGTGGTGCCCATGGCTTGTTCCATAACTTGCGGGCCCTGCGAAAGAGGCTGGCAGAGATTCATGGGAACTGTCAACAGATCACGCTGCAAGAGTTTCGGGATGCCACATGGTCAGCGCAAGAGATCCATTTGCTCAACGAAGCTCGCGCTTAGCTTTGGCAAACTTTATGAACCCGTGTGTTTATATTTTGTTGCTGTAGAGACATAGAACCTTTCAATGGGTTGATTCCTCTACTTTAGAAGCTTTGCAAAAAAGTTTTTCGGCCTCCGTGTTCAGTCCCAGCTTCAAAGGAAGTCTCTAGCTCTCTCTCAACCATCATCATGTTAGAAGTTTGCGAAGTGATGGCTCCGGCAATCTTTGTGATTTTGCTGATGTGTTTGCGAAGCAACACCTTTTTGGCGCAGAATGAATCGTTCTTTCTGGGTTTGGCAGAGGCCAACTTCCAAGAAAGCCTCATCCGGAATGCTTACAGCCTTCTTCTTGAAGTAGCCATGTTAGTGGCAACGGATCTTTTCTCCCGGAAAACGATTGGACTGAGCTTCGTGAGTGTGATGCGCAGCGTCCTTCAATGCGATTTCAGTTTTTGGCTCTCCACACTTTCGGCAGCCTATGTTGGCTGGCTCACTGTGTTGGTCAGGCACACTGGCCATGACATGAACTTTAAGTTTTTATGGCTGCCTTGAATCATCAGACTTTTTTGTTGACTGTATCCAATACATGCTGTACCTGAAACTTGTTTGAGGAAGTTACTGAAAGAGACATCATCAAGTCAGCATCATCCACTGTGGCTACCCACAGGGTGAACTCATTTCAGTATATATTTAATCGCCAATCAAGTTCTCAGTTTCCCGGTTGCCGAGCAATTTCGATACCCGGAGAATATTGTCGCGAGGCATGCTGGCGCTAGGAAATGACCTTTGCTGTTGCATAACAACCTAGCCTTATTCTGTAGAAATGCAGATGAAGGCATGGAGCTTGGAAAAGAGTCTATTCTCGTGGTGGTTTGGAAGCGTGGTCGGAATCCGAGCCTACCATCCATTCACGAGGTCAACTTGTACCATGCAGCTATAGCATACCCTGTTTGCACACAGCTCTTGAATTGTTTTGTGTGCTCATTTCAGTGGTGCTAAGCTACACTTGCAAGGACATCAGAGAAAAACACGTCGACGATGACCTTTCTTGGACAAAACACCACAGTCTCGCAGAGAAGACCTCCGAATATGTTTGTTGGAGTGCTTTGCCCTTGTTGGTGGTTTCTCTGTTGTGCCCAAGAAGGACATGATGGTGTTATATATAAACCGGCCAGGTCATTTAAGTGGCAAATTGGATTCATTAGAATCATTAGAGGTTTAATAGACATGGTACTCTACCAGCGTTTGTATCTTGCTGTTGGGGATGGGAAGAATGACACACCACCTTTCACTAACATTGGCTGTATGTCAAAGCATGTGACACCCAGGAATGCTGATATACAGGATGTCACCTATTCCTACGTGTTTGATTTAATTCCTCACACTTGTTGATGCCTGGAGGTGCAGGGTTCCTACATGAAGTTTTCAATCACAGAGGTCTTCAAAATTCTTCAAATACCTAGGACCTAGAACATGCAAAAAGGAACACGTTATAGAAGCATATAGAAACCTTTGGTTCACAAAAGAAGTGAACACAAAATAATCAGGTTCATTGCTCTTGTTTTTTTTCAGGAAACCAACATCTCTTTCCCCTCTTGGCTAGCTCCTCGCAGCGAGTTCCTTGCTTGCCGGACGTCCGTGGCCGACCTAGGTCGGCCGTGGACGTCTGTACTCCGCGCTCTGAGCGAAGAGGCCGCGGGGTCGGTGCCACGTCCAAACGGAACCAGGGTTTCTAGGTCTCTACTGTATGGTTTCTCTGTGTGTGTTTTAGTCTGAACCACTGGTTACCAGCCATGGTGGTAACTGGATCCACTGGGATGGAGGTCTTAAATCGAATGTACCAGGTGGTACCAGGACAGAATCAGTAGTACTTTCAGTGTGAGATGTCTTGAGATAGTTGAAGAGATCTGTTTGTTCGGTCACAATAATATGGGCCTGTAAATGGTCACCAAGAGAGACTCCAATTCAAGGTCGTGGTATGAATCTTTCGATGGGAGAATGTGGCACATGATTGCCACTTCCATGTTTGAGAGTTATCGAGTTAAGGTCATCCAGCATGGACCACGGAACTGGGCTTTTCGGAACATGTTTCTCTAATGATTACTTGTTCCATGTGTTCTTCCCCTGATAAATAGACCTGATATGAGAGCTCCTGCATGTTCATGGAGCATCTGGGGATGGAACATCAACATTTGTTTGCCCCGCGAAGGCTTCGCCCATGAATCTTCTTTGCATGCCTTCATTTGGGCCATAGGTTCTTCACTTCGTGACCTCGACGTCTCTTTTTTGTATTCGCCAGGTCCATCGAAGGATATCCGTCTCAAGACTCGTTCGAGTTCTCCACTTCCGGTATTTGAGAAGTGATGAAACGTGCTTTATTAGGCCTAGTACAATGGCAGGTGGTGAATCTGCCAGGTGAGCCTGGACCAAACTCCCAAACTTCTCAAGACATGTCCAACTCAGTGAACGTCCAATCTGAATCCAGACACTCCGATGGGGACTGGAATATATGGCCTACAGTGAAATCATCTGAAATCATTCGGGTAAATATAGGCCATACATGGATGGTTTGGGGAAGCATCCTCACTGTTTTCTGGCGAGTCTTTGAAGGGGATGCCATCCCTTTTCGATTCCTGAATCCGGTGGTATACCATACGCGTTGCCGCACCGCCAGTGGACCCACAGGGAACGCACCTGACCTCCATCTTCGGACCTGAACCAAAACCATTGCCAGCAGAGGTTGAAGAACCCTAGTTATAGACTATCCTAGCTAGATTAGGTACCCCAGCTATCGGTAGGTTACGGGTTCTTTTCAGGTCAATTATAACCAATGCATGTGTTGGTGTTTCGGATTCTTAGGGAGAGACCTAAGTAGATCTAGGTGAACCATCCCCCTCGGCCTCTCAACAAGTCCAGGCCCTCTCAAGCAGTTGAACCATCCCACTCGGGCACGGTGCAGCTCAATTCCTATCATTCCTCATTTCCTCGTTCCGTCCCCATGCAGGCGAGGACGACCCCATGCGTGAGACTGACGTCGGGCCTCCCTAGGTATCCGAGCTTTTGTGGAGGAACGAGGAGGTTTGTGGTCCCAAAATAGAGAGAACCAAAAAAAACATGTTGATGAAGACACGAACAGATTTTGGTTTGAAGGGGAACCATTCAGAAACGCCGAACTTTGCCGGTTTTTATGCAGGAAAAGGCATAGATTTTGCATATGTCGTAGTTGGAATAAGATCCAGGTATTGTATCTTGCTTTTTGCACAAAAGCCGATGCCAACTCGAATATGCATTGCTATACACAGACTTCACCGGAAAACAGCGGCGGGACATCCGACGACCTTCACCAAAGCTGCGCTCCGACTCACTGCCACAAATGCGCTGGACACAACAAGAAATGTCAATGAGTGTCATCCGATGTCCCGAACAAGTGCATCGCTACTAGTAACAAGTGCCTTACCAGTAGTAACAAGAAGCTATTAATTTAAATTCTAATAGCAAACATTGTTACTACTAGTAAGGCACCTGTTACTAGAAGCGATGCAATTGTTCCTAGTAAGCTTTGCCTAGGTTGGAGGCCATACGGCACCCAGACAGGATGGTCCTGGTATACGGTATATGTTAATCATGAATTTTCAGGATCTTTAAGGCCTTCTTTTTTCCAGAGATCTCTGAGATCTCGTCGACTGAGGATGATCGACAGCGAGGATTCCGCCACGCTCGTGGTGTTCTGTTCTTATATCGTGCGCCGGGCCAGACACGACTAGGCGGTGCGCACTGCTCAACCCGCAACTCGAAAGTCGAAAGAAGACCAGACATGACTTGGGATTGGCACTCTAAATTGGGCTGGTTTGATTCCTCGATGTAGACATTTGTTTTGCAGGTCCCGTGGAGTGTTTGTTCAACCTGGTGGCTCTATTCGTGCCTTGCGCAAGGTATTGCAATTGTTGATCCGGCATTTAAGGGAGCAAGCAGTCGAAGGCCAACCTGGTCGAAGTAAAGATATATAATATATATAATCAAGGACCACAGTGCAGCCACGGAACCTCATTAATGTTACACATCATGAAGCCTGAAGAACTCTGCACAGATGCTCGACAGAGGACAGCACCTGCGACATGACTCGAAAGGACTTTCGTTTCAGATCCGATTTCCACTCCAGGACCCGATGAATCATCGTATGGACTGTATGGGTGTGTGTAAGAGGACTTACGATTTGCCAAGCAATGGGTTTTCTGGGCTGAAAGATTCTTTCAGAATGTCCCACACCCGTTTGATTTCTTTGTTTAGTTATTACTTGTCAATAACAGGAATTACTATTTAGTTATGACTTGATTACTTGCTATAGTCTTTTTAAATGGCACGGTGCATTTAGTTGTAACTATAGCAAAGAAACGAAGGAGATGAAGGACTGGGTAACTGTCCATGTCCGGGTAACTGTCCATGTCCTTTGGGAGCCCGCTCTGTCGACTATCTTCAGTGCGCAGGCCGCAGTCGCGGCACCAGGCTTGGACGATGTGTCCCAGAAGATGGAAATCCAAAAAACTGAGGCTCACGTTCTTGTTGCGTCTTCAATGGGGTTCAGAACAGACAGTTCGTCTACCATTCATATAGAGATGTGCAGTCCAGGCAGTTTACGAATTCATAGAAACTACTCAACTCTTTTTATTTTGGGGATCGTGGGATCATGGGTTTTTGAATGTGTTTGATGCTTTGTGGATGATGTTTCTCGCAAGATCCTTTGGGTTTGCTTCCTTGGGACGTGTGGCTATTGATTTGGTCTTTTTCGGGGAAGAACACTGCGAGAATCTGAAGATGTGGACGAAGACTTTTAGGTTTTCCACCGTCCTGGTGTCACACTCAGAGCCCCACGCTGTGACCTGTCGTGATCATCCCGCCTGCCACCATCGGATGACCATCAGGGGCCTACATCGTCCTACATCCCAAACACCACGGCGGGTCGCAGCTTCAGTGCAAACAGGTTGAGAGATCTAATTTCTATATAGGACCCAGTCGTACGGGCCACCCAGGGATGGGCTGTTCAACCTGGTCATATGGGTCATCCCCAAACATCGCCTCGGCTCTCGGTGAACACGGCCGCGTCGGTCGGCCCGGCCCTCCGTCGGCCAGGTGGTCCACATCGCACGAGCGGATCGTCGGCGGGTCCCAGCGAAGCAGCGGAGGAAGACCAGTGATATCGGGAGATGGACTGCCAGTGGGCCGGTGGGACTGCGGGTGGCACGGTTGAACAAAAAGATGTTCTACGTGGGGATCTACGAACTTCTATCTATGACAGGGGGTCTATATATAGATGATTTGGCCAATCCTTCAGCTACATGGGGTTAGTAGCGACATGGGTAGTTGCGGAGTGAAAAACACCAAGTGTGCTAAGTTGGTTGGGGCAGTTCAAAGTTTGTATGGTTGGCTCTTCATGTCCTAATTCAAAAATGCAAACGTTTGCATTTCCTACTCAGGTCCATCTCCTACCCGACTCGCGCGCCGCGCGCACGCTTGGTTGAGATGAAGCTCCGCCCAAAAGATGATCGTGCATGGTTGGAGGCCCGGCAGGTGTTGGCCAAGAGGACTTCAGCCTTGGGGGGTCTACGGTGCAAGCTCATCAGAAATGAAAAGGGAGCTCAGCTGTAATTTCGTGTGGAGATCTGAATGGTGGGGGATCGGCGCCAAGAATATGCCCTTGCATTTTTGAGAACACCACAAGCATAGGCAGCCGTGGACTTCGGCAATGATATCATTGGAATGATGAGCCAGGTCGAAAAAAAGGCACAACCATAATAAACAAAACACAAAAAGGCAAAATACAATGGGAGTGGCTGGGCAAGGAAACGGCGGCAGCGTCCGGAATTGGAATACCAGCCCCCCTTCAATGAACAAGCCACCAACACAAGCTAACATCGCATTCCTGCCATTGGTTTTGGCATGTTTTGGCAATGTTGACCCAAGCAAACTTTCTGGGAAGTCCAGCTAGACACAAAATCTATATAATCATTTCGTGAACTGTTTGTTGTTGGTAGGCTCTTCCCCCCTTGTTAAAAGGTTGTCGCGCTTGCAGCTTCCAACAATTTGTTCTTGGAATTCTAAGCATTGTCTTATAGTTGTGAAAGGGCTCTAGAAATCGTGTTTTCAATTTACACGGAGAAAGAGCATCCTTATGCATCATTCGGGTACCACGGCAGGCTTCGATGCCAAGCCAGGCCAGATGTTGTGGCGCACAAAATGATCCACTTCAAAGTTTTCTTGATGAGACAGATTCAGCCAAAGCAATGTTGACGGACATCCAATAAATTCTAAGAAGTTGTTCAAGCACTGCCATGTTCCTGGTGTTATCCTAACAGTGAGCCATCATCTCTGCCCATGACATGCAGTTTCACACCTTGGATTTCACCGCGTGTTACATGCGGCGCCGAGAAAAGACCGCTGTGCGCTCGAAGCACTTCGATATGCATTTGGATTGTAGAGAGATGATTCTCCAAGCAGGCGGCTGTCCCAGCCACTTCACATAAGCTTTGACTGCCATTGCACTCTTCGGCCCAAGTGATCACTTGGCAAGACCTTTCTTCTGGCCGCGGCCGATGTGCACAAACTCGGGCATGAAAGTGTTGGGAAGAAGCGGGCGCAAGCGGGCGCAAGCGGTCGAAGGAGTGAAATGTGGTCGAAAGGGATGTCATGGTAGAGATAGAAATGAGTCCCCAAAGAGAGAAACAACGAAATGAGTCCTTTTTTTTTGGTGGTCCCCATTCTACAAGGGACATATGAAAACCCCCAAAGAGATATCGCTCAACGACACTGAGCGATTCCGATGCCTCGAGGGCTTCGATGCCTCGGCCAGCCTCGGCCTGATATGGTTGATGTCCGAATGTGAACTTCGCCAGGCGCAAATCTGAACAAAGTAATTCAAAGGTGAACATTTTCAGACTTTGGTACTGCCATACTAAGACTAAGACCATAAGACCATAACATACTCAATTCATCACACCCATACTTGCGCCACCCGCTTCGCCATGGAGACTGCTTCCATGAGTCGAATTGCAGATGCAGAAAACGAGGACGTTTGCGGCGGTTTTCGCTGTGTTCAAAACGAAAGACACTTCTGGGTGTTCTCATGTGTTGCCTACATGCAGCATTTTGGATGTAGCAGGATGGTGAGGATCGCAACCCTCCCTTTGGGCTATTTCCCGCTGAGCTGAAGCCTCTACAGAAAGTCATTGAAGAGATCCGCTCAGAGGTGTCAGTTGGGATAGATGTTGCGGTGAAGAAAGCGCAGCGAAAAGCGCGTGAACTCGAAGATACTTTCCCGGCACTCAGCGAAGACGAACGAGCAATGATCTCGCTATACACAATGGAATTGCATCCCAAAGAGCGCTCCGTCTATTTTGCCATGAATGCAGCTCTTAGAGATAGAGAGCGCGAAGCAGTCAAGGTCTGGAGATCCGCGATTTGGCTGCTGGTCACAGCGATGAACAAGCTCCCACGCGAGAAGGAAACCGTCTTATACAGGGGAGTCAAAAAGGCCGCTGCAGAGCTAGGCAGGGAAGTGGTTGGCAATCAGTTTATCTCACGCAAAACTACTGCCAAGAGTCCGTGGGTTATGTTTAAAGCGACTGATTTCATTAACTTTATAATGCTCCATCCTCCCATCCTCCAAAACTCTGCTGTAGGAAGGCAGTGCGAGAAGGGCAAGGTCTTTCTGTGGTGCGGGTTCAGCAGCACAACAAGCCATGTCGAAGGCCTTCAAGCCTTTCTGGGCACAAGCGGGCCACGCACAAAGTGGACTCTGAAGTTGCGGCCGGGTTTCTATGGTGTTGACATCCGCCTGTTTTCCTTCTTTCCCAAAGAGTTCGAAGTCCTCCTGCCTCCGCAGCTGGAGTTCGAAGTGAAATCCGTGCTGGACTGCGGCAACGGCTTCATAGAAGTACAATGCGTGCAACTGGAGGAGACAGATCCAATACTTGACTTCGTGCAGGCCCAGGCAGGTGGCGTGGGTGGCCCATGCAGTAATACTCTTGGAAGTTCAGCCGCATCGTGCTTCAGAACTGAACTGGGAGAGTTTGAGAGATTCCGAACGGTTTTCTTGTGGCCTCATTCAAGGAACGGTTGAGTCCTGTAACTTTCGATTCCTTTGGAGCGAAGGGTATAAGAAACATTGATTTGAGACTTTGCAGGATGCTCGATTCTTGCAAGGGAAAGTCAAATTCGAGTGATGAGGGGAGGAATGACAATTTCAGTTCTTTATTGCCTGGGCAAGATTTCATGTTTGCAGGTCTGCCAAGCTTCACCTGGATATCCCAGCAGATGCCCCGAACTTCAGGTGCCAAGATGGAAATCCAAAGCTTCGTGAAACGCAGATTCTGTGCTGGGAGCATTCGGAAGCACTCTAGTCTACAAGACGCAGAAGCACTCTCACTCTGACTCTCTCTCTCTCTGTCTTTGTGCAGAAGTGGAAGAGTGAATCATTAGCAACCACAGAATAGCAAGCAACATCGATGGTCTTAGTTTCTATGGACGTACAGATAACAGGTATCGTGCCTGTTCCTCATTGACTGATGCATCTGCAACACATTGCAACACTGAGCGTTTCGGACACGTTCTGTCTTGCAAACTTCCAGCGAAAGATGGCGAAAGGTGACGAGTGCACCAGAGGCACGACCTTCAGACTTGTAGCTTTGGCTTGGACCACCATTTTCTGGGGAGCTGCAGCTTGGATGTTCATGCAAGTCTGAAGCAAAGCGAAGCGAAGTCCAACGATACAGTCCAGCGAGATCAAGTAGCAAATCAAACATATCGCATTTGCTGTTACCGATCGGTTCAGTAATCCTTGTGACAATCATGTTCAAGCAAACTGTTTGATCCCCAAAACAGGGTGCAAAAATATCTGCAAGTCCTGTCCATCTCGCAGATCAGCAGATGCCTCGACCTCAGGCGGCACCTCCCGGTTCGGTGCATTCGACCAGTGCTCGGTGCTCAGAGAGTTCGTGTCGTTGGTGCGCGGAGTTGCGGCTTTTGTGCACTGAAAGTTGTTGCATTGTACTCCCACACTGATGGCAGGAAGATGTAGAAAGTACTATATAGTGTATATTACTCTGCGTGGGGTCATTTCATAGCCAAGCACATTTTATGATGATCTCTTCAAAAGTAAAGGCGAAAGGGGTAGTTTCACTGAAAATGGAACAGTTCTTTGAGCGATGTTCTTTTGGAACGGCATTGGGCATTGAGCAGAATTGCAGCTGAGATGCAAGCGGTTGATTTGCCGTATAGACGGAAATAACTAGTGGAAGGTTGCCGGGAAAACCCTCCTGAGCATTTCAATGAGAACGTGGTCATACGTGGTCAACAGGTCTATCACAATAGAAGTGAGTTATTGTTGCAGGTACATCTATATGTCAGCTATGAAGTGGAACTAAATTATACCCTCTCTTTTTGAGACGCTGTGAGAGGTGCATTTTTCGATGAACAATGAACCCAAAAAAAACAGCGCCGCTGAGAGCGCTGCTTTCTGCAAATATAAAGCCTTGCAATATGGTCCTTGGTGGCCAGAGTTGTCACAGGCTGCGGTTGAGCCGAGACTTCGTGGACGCGCGTCCAAGGTGGGAGGGGAGTCTTGACTCCGACTCCGAATCGGGTTCGCCCTCGGTTGGCCGACTATCTCAGCTTGGAAAATGTTCACCGGAAATGTGTTCCTTCACCTGGGTCGCTTCAAGAAATAGATGGCAGATGCGAAAGCGCCGCAAGCGGATGGCATGACAGGAATCAAAGACTCCTGTCGATGTTTCTGGCCAGGAGCCCAGGAAGGTACTTCAGTTGCGACAGCTTCTCAACATGGAAACGCACAAAACGCACAAATCACTTGCGTTCCTGAACATGTTCCAAGGGATAGAAGCACTCACTCAGCTCCCTTCGTGCTTGCTCGTCTTCGCACCTTCTGGGCCCCAAGGAAACCGAATCGAATCGGTAGATAGAGAGAGTGTGCGCTCTGGAGAGTTGATTGCGATTGAGCATATATGTCTGGTCCGAAAGAGCTCATCCAGTCCGAGCAAACAGCGCCTTTATAGAGGTCTCTTGTCTCTTGCAGTTGTTTTTTCTCGCCGCGGGTGTGTTTTGACAAGGCAAAGTGCCACTCCCTTTGGTCGTTTTTGTTCACGTCTTTTCTCGCGAAGCCATGGGGTCTGCAAGATGTTCAAGCCGGCATTCGGGTCAAAAGGGCGGTTCTCGGCGTTTTGTTTCGCTCCAGCTTCAAGCCTTGACAGTCCTTCACGTGTTTTTGAGCACATGGGTGTGACCAGGACGGAGGTCACCGTGAGAGGAACAACGGTCCTCGACACGGCAGCCGGGCATGCGGCGTGGGCTCCAATCGAAGCAGATGAGTTTCTGTCGGTTTGGGATGTTCGAGTCCATGAGGCTGGAACCTCCATGGGGCCGCGAAGAAGGGCGAAGTTCACATCCTCAAAGCGCTGCTGGATGGCGGTGCCGACAAGGACGTTCACATCATGTGGCCGTGGTATCGTCCGACTTCTCCGGTAAGGGCGAAGAGAGTAAACAGAGATAACGTAGCTAAAGCAGTTTGGTTGGTCAGCTCAAGTAACAAGCTCAAGTTCAAGTGTTCTTCAGCCGCTCAGGAGAGGAAGAACCAGCATGGCTGGGGACCTCAGGTCACACCCGGCTTCGCCTCGGTCCTCGGTCCCCAGGATTGGAGACGCCTCAAAGGCCTCGGTGTGCACACCTGGAGATCCAGCGTCCGCACACGCATTCGCAGCTGATACCAAGTCTGACTCCCTTTCCACCATTTTCCACAAAAAAAAATCTGCTTTTTCGGCGGATTTGGAACACCACATCTTTGCAAAGAATGGCACGAAAAATGCAAAGATTCTTCTAAGTACTTGTAGGGCACCGCGCGGACACCTCCACGGTGCCATACAGCACTTCGCCACCGGTCTCTCAAACCGGAGCAGAATAGATTACCAGGTGAAAGGGACAACCTGCCAGGGTGAAACGGGCGAAACGGGTGCCATGACCCCACAGCCATTTGTTAGAGGCTACCATACGCTCGTATGCCACTGTCTCTGCCGTGTTTACACTGTGCACAGTATATGAAGATGTGTGAAGGGTCAGCATTGCAATCTTCAACTTGCGTCAAGTAGGTCCTGCCAAGGTTCGTGAGCTTTGCCCGGCTGAAAACCAACCTGCAGAGTCTCCGGCTTCTCAGACATCTCCAAAAGAGCCAAAGATGCTTTGGCCTAATTGAAGCCCGGCAAGACAGATCCTTTGCCTCTCTCAACTTAAGTCAACTTCTTCAATATCTCCCACGATCTCAAACTTGGCACGGTCTTTCAGACGCAAAACGTTTCACTTTGATGCCCAAAGACAGTCAGGATGGGCCAAACCGGTTGGTCTTACTCTGTGATGGATGATCTCGTGCGATATCGCGTGTCGAGGCAATTGCGTCCTCGTATGGTCGAGAACCCTTTACAGAAACATGGAACACGTTCGAGTCCGAAGTTTGCCACCCATCCCAAGAAGTTTGCAACGGAATACTCCGAACCTTTGCCACTCAAAATTCAGGAGATACCCTCCTTCTAGACTGAAAGTTGCTACCTGCAGCGTTGGTGAAGTCGTTTGCCACCAGGTGGACTTTGATTTCGACACATGTAGGCCTTGCCCTTGCCAAGCCTTGAATGCATCCTCCTGAAATCTTCCCTCAGTGCCACTTAAGCCAAACCAGATCTTGATGACCAAAGAGCTTCACATCTTCCTTGTGCCAAGAGCTCCCCAAGCACAAGCTCAATGCCTTGACGCATCTTGACGCTAACAGATCCCTTCTGCTTCTTGACCCGTTTAAATCGGCTTCGTGAGGTTTTGTGACGTGAACGCACCGTTTACATGGAGAGCTAGCAGCTAGTATGGGGGCTAGTTCTTGTCCCCAACAGCTCCAACAAAAGCTGTGGCAGAACTGCAGAACTAGAGAAAGTGTCTTGAAGCTTTGCTTTTTATATTTTCCGAGCAGCCACGCCACCTTCCTTGATCGAATCCTGAATCCACTTTCTTTTTTGCGGCGCCTTGAGGTGAAACTCCCTTGCACGTGGCAGCAGAAAAAGGCCAAGTGGGAACCCTCAAAGAACTCCTTGCTGCCGGCGCAGAGAAGGACGCCCGGACCGATTCGCGCCCACGCCCTAGATTCGTCACCGACGACCGATTTCGCTGCGGCGCCGGGGACTTCGCAGCCCCAAACATGCCCCGGCGACAAGCGTGGGAGGACGCAAGCTCGTGCGGTGCGCAAGATGGACTGGATGGAGTCAAGACGTGTTGTGTACCTGTAGATTCTTTGTCCGAGCAGTCAAATTCTCTGTCCGAATGCAGGGATTCTCCCAACAGTGTGCTCAAAGCATTTTTAACATGCTCTAGAAACTGTGTGCACTAGTTAGTAGATGGCTCTACTTCCTGTTGTGCTGTGGCACCGGGTTCAGGTAAAACTCCACTGCATGTGGCAGCAGAAGAAGGCCAAGTGGAAGCCCTCAAAGAGCTTATCGTCGCCGGCGCAGAGAAGGAAGCCCAGACTATTTTTTGCCGGGGCCCGCAGATATGTGAGCGACAACGGACCGATAGATAACGATGTCAGCACAGCAGTACCAGAGCACCTTTTCGGAAAAGCGCTGGGGGCTTCACAACAAAGCCCGCACACGGTTTAACATTATGCACATTTTGGGCAAAGTCCTTTCACATTCAGATCTGAAAGGTTGACTTTCCGTGCCGGCCAGAAAAGCTCTGCTTGAGAAGCTGTTAGGAGGGAGTTGCAACGTGAGGACCCAAACAAACATGTTGACACTCCAAAGCCTAAGTGTCATTTTGGAGAAGGCGGTTGTCGGAATGTCACTTCCTCAATGTTTGAGGAACGCACTATCACTTACTGTACAATTTGTAGCTGGTTGCAGATTTGGTAGGTTCTTCCTTTAAGCCAACATTCTTCATGGAGGCAAAGCTCTCTGAGAGGAACGCTGTGTCTTTGGCACTCTTTGCATCTGTCTGGGTCAGAATCCTAGTCACCACTCCACTGTTTGGTCTCCAGATCCTGCTCGTGCCTGCAGCGGTGCCGCAGTACTTGTAGCTCGATACCGCCCCGAGGTGAAACTGCCTTGCACCTGGCAGCAGAGGAAGGCCAAGTGGGAAGCCTCAAGGAACTCATTGCAGCTGGGGCAAAGAAGGAAGCCGTGAAACAAGTGGGCCCGGGCCCCAGAAGAAGGCCTTGCAACAACGAAAGAGGAATTATTCGTGGGATTGGGCTTCGCACGACAAGCTAAACATGAAAACAATAGACCTTCAAAGGTAGACTTTCCTTGCAAAGCTCGCTCGCCAATTTCAATAAGTAAGCAGGCGCTTTTTTGGCTTGCTTCTAAGCCAAGTGGGAGTGTCATCCTACACTTTCATGTTTGTAGGTTGCTGCATCTTTGACTCCTCGCAAACCAGGGAACATTGCTTTTGGGAGGACATGGTAGCCGAACTCCTGTCTCAGTGCCGTGGCAGCTTGATACCGCCTCCAGGTGAAACTCCATTGCACTTGGCAGCAAGGAAAGGCCAAGTGGAAACCCTCAAAGAGCTGCTTGCGGCTGGTGCAGAGAAGGAAGCACGGAACATTTTCGGCCGTGAACTCAGAGAATTGAGTGATACTGTAGCCGAGCAGGAAGGGTCAGTGTATGTTGCAATGAGTCAAAGGAAAGCCATATGGAATGCAACTCACTTGCCATAGAGATCCGATAGTAGCGCAATGCCCACATTACACTGGGAAGCTATTGCTGCCATCAGACCCAAACACTCCCAAAACCTGCCTTTGTGATCTATTATATATAGAGACTTGCCATTATTATGGTTTCAGGCCCTGAAGCGATTTCGGTTTCCACAGAAACCGGCATTGGCGCAGGTCAGACTCCCGCAGACCTGGCGCGCGAAAAGGGCCACGCAGCGATCCTGGAGCTGCTGGAGGCCGTGGCTTCTGTCGATGCATGTGGTGAAAGAAGTGGCCAAGCCAAGCTATACAAAGCTCTTTAGTTAACATCGTTCTTACATGTTCTTGCAAACAAGGGCAGGAAGCTAGAGCCCTTCCACATCTCCTTGTTTTCTTGCTGAATTGAACACAGTGGAGGATGAAAGGGCTGGTTCTGGGGGAAGGTGGAAGCTTGCAAAATCAACCAAGGGATTGTTTGCAACCAAACCATCCTAAATCCTAAATTGCCAGGCCATTCTGTGCCAACATTCGTCGGGGTTGGTGGGAGCGTGTATTTGGGCATAGTTTACATGGGTCACAGGGAAAAGGCTGTGGTAGGACTGCTACATCTTGTGGAAGGAACTGTTTGTAAGGAGAGCTCCAGTCCTTTAGAAACAGCTTGTCAGCATCCTGTGTCATGGAAGACGTCTCAAGAGGATCGCGTTTTACGGCAAGGGTTGAAATTGGGTGCGCACATCCAGCTTTGTCTGAATACCTTTCTGTGTTCGATTAGAACGTTTTGACACCAGACTCCAACAAATTGCTGCGCCATCGGCATCTCGCCTGTAAAACAAGCAGCCTTTAGTTGACTGTAAAGCCGCTTACCTTTGATCACACGAGCCTCCTTCCCTGCTGCCGACAGAGGCATTGAAAATCGACCTAGTTTTTACAGTTGCATTTTGGCATAAATTGGTGGCTTTGGGAGGGCATATGGCAGCACAAACATGGTCACAAAGGTAGAGCTGCTATGCAAGTGATGCTTACATTGTGAGGTCGCATTACCAGCTTTTTGAGTTTAAACAATTGGATGGTTTACTTTATTGCCTGATTTTCCTTCAGAGCTTGAGCTTGGTGTTTTTCTTCGCTCGGTGTCGTTCCTGCGCGGATGTGTGTGTCGACGTCGACGTCTTCACGATATCGGGGGGGCGGGTGGGGATAGCTATGGAGCGGACATTTCAATTTATAAGTGCTTAAGAGCTTCAGATGCCAAGTGCAGTTTCGGCAGAAAGTTGGGATGGATTTGGCCGCAGGCGCCGCAAGCCCGTCGTGCAGACCTATCAGAGGTGTCCATGTGCTCACATGCGCTGAACGTGTCATCCATGGGCGCAGTCGGTTGGGCATTGGGCATGTCTGTCATGTCCTAGAGGTTTGTGTCTTTCAGTGGACTGTGTGGCATTGCTTCCGATTGTAGATCCTCAATGTTATAGTGCATAAATAACAAATTGTGTTAGGGTTCTATCACCTTAAGAACTGAATTTGATGAATGGCGATGGCAGGCCATACATGTGGACGTCTCCGGCCAGGAGCTCATTGTGTTCAGTCTTTCAGGACGCTCACTGGAACAGACTTGGCTTTCTTGGCCTTCTCGAAAATAAATAGCCGCAAAGGCGCAAAGGCCTTGCTGGCCTTGCCCGTTCCGCCTTCTAAAGGCCTGTCACATCCGGTTTATCGTTTATCGCATCCGCTCAGCCTGTCACGGCTGAGGTTGGAACCTGCACGAAGCTACAAAAGAAGGTAAGATTGGCATTCTCAAAGCCCTGCTGGATGGCGGTGCTGACAAGGACGGGTTTCGCATGGTTTCGCCGTGGGAGAACCCTACACGATTGGAAATCTTTCATTTTGCTGTTGTGTCCCAGTGACACGAGTGTCAGGAAGCTTGAGAGTCCGAAAAGCAGTGCCAGCACTCTTAGGACATGAAGAACAAGTTTGGCTGCTGCCTCAGTGACTCAAGTCTTCCGACCTCAAGTCAGCTCGCCGGACGAGGTTGACCCATCGTTTTCGCCGCACGCGCGCACGCCGAGCCCTGGGACTTGAAGCATAGCGGTCAGTCCGTAGCGGTCAGTCTAGCGTGGGTCATTGGCCGCGTCGAAGTGATGAAAAGTGCTACTCATAGCTGCGAACTTCTCAGAACTCTCATATTGCCATCATATAACGCAACCTTTCAGATCAGGACCCGGGCAAGTGTATTGCTAGCAAGCAGCTTCCCAAGTGGTCACCCTTTCTTGATCCAGGCATACTCAAACATGTTCTGAAGACTTCTTGACACCTCTTTTCTTACATCTAGGCTATAATAGTTTCGCTGCGCGACCTTGAGGTGAAGCGCCATTGCACGTGGCAGCCGAAAAGGGCCAAGTGGGAGCTCTCAAAGAACTGCTTTCTGCTGGCGCAGCCAAGGACGTCCAGAAGAATCTGGGCCTGGTCCCCAGATGTGACGTCGGGACGCTCCCCCACCATGCAGCGCGGTGGATTTAGTGTCAAAGCAACTCATCAGGGCGATATACATCGATTGATAGGGAGCATGAACGGGGTGTACGCAGGAGGTGTGCTACAGCAGCGCAGGATGTTGGCAGGGAATCGCCGCCCTCTAAGACTGGCAGAATGAATCGCATGCAGTTGCTTGTTTCTTTTGGGGGGGTGCCAACACGTTCAATCATACTTTATCATATGTTTATCATATGTTTAAATTCATCATTCCTGCCTTGCAACCAGAAGTTCCACTGCGGTTCCTTCACCAGCCCCTCCCGTCTCAACCTCGGCCGCCCCGGTGCCGAGGGGAAACGGCCTTGCACGTGGCGGCCGAACAGAACCGAGTGGAGGTGCTGAAGGAACTCCTGGCGGCCGGCGCTGCGAAGGAAGTCCCGAACTATTTGGGCCGGGACCCCAGAGGTTTGTTTTTTTGGAAAAGGATCCAATTTAAAATGATAATTCTATAATATATATATATGTAAGACGTAGCAAATAATGTGAAACAATGTGGGATTTGTTCATCAAAACAAGCACGTGTTTTATGTCGTTTTTTGGTCGCCAGTCAAGGAGGCCTCCATTCTGCGCCTTCGATTTTTGTATATTCCACTCCACAACTCTAGAAGACAGGTCCCACTGTCTCAGCACAGGGGCCGGGCCGGTTCCGACAAGGTCGAAAGGAACAAGAGGGAAGTGAAACGGGATAGACGTCCGTATCAACGCTTCAGGACATGAAGATGTGAATGTTGGTGGTCCAAAAGTGATATTTTATTTGAAGGACGCGGCGAAACGGTTGTGTTTTGTTCCTCCAAAAGATAGAGAGAGTGTCCTGTCCTTCATGAGCTTCAGAGGGGCGAGTCTCTGAATTAGGGCTCAATCTCTCAGGTCGTTCTCGTTCTTTCTCGTAGTCACGTGTCATCCTGATTCGAGGAAGTCCAGAACACAGGGGGCGTTGGCCTCAGATTTCCGAAACGAGTTTCTTTGGCAAAGCAGCGAGGGCTTTACAACAACGCCCACACATTGCTCAAGAGATCCATCAGATGGCACACGCCCTTTGCAAGATGACCAACCCCTGTGTATTTTTTTCGATCTCCATCTCAAATGAAACAGTAGGACTGTAGACCAAGAAGGCTTGACATTTCCTTGCAAGAATCGGAAGAGCTATTTTTGACAAAGCGAGCAGCTGTTCTTTCAGGTGTTCTTCTTTTTTCCTGCACCGTTTGCATCCGTTTGCTGCTGTAGTGTTTTTTTCACAGCTTTGACTCCACACAAACAGTCGTACAAATAGCGGCCCGCTTTATATCAAAACCAGATAAATTGTTGGGAGGGGATCGCATACATGGCGGCCCCGCTTCTTCCTCCCAAAGAGCGGGGACATATTTCCAACGCCCTTTTGAGGAGTGCAAGCATTGTCACTTACCATTTGTATCTCAATGCTTGTGAGTTTCCATGCTTGTAAGCCATAGCTGGCGTTTTCATGGCACAAAGCTGGCTTATTCAAGCGCAAGAGTGCACACTGGCTTATTCAAGTAACACTGTGAGACCGACGCAACGGACAGGGACACCAAGAAGGCTTGTACACTGTAGGACCCTAAAGTGCAACACAGGCTACATCGATTTCTGTTGGACCGACACGTGTCAATCATTCTTTGCCACAATCTCTTGGATCAAAAAGCCCTCAGTGACCCGGTTTTCACGGACAAAACACGCCAAAAAAAGGCCTCACACGTTTCTTGGATTCCCGGATTTCTGCGCCGCCTTGAGGTGAAACGCCCCTGCACTGGGCCGCCAGGTTTGGCCAATGGGATGCCCTGAAAGAGCTCCTTGCGGCCGGCGCAGCGAAGGAAGCGCGGAATCACGTGGGCCAGGGACCCCCAGATCATTCAGACAACGGTTTCAGCTGTTTGATGGCGACACCCGAAAATGTCTTCTGATGGGGATCCATATGCAGTACCTATTCTGAAACCACTACAGTATAGACTGTAGCTGGTATGGCTTCTGAAGCTTTGCTGGTTGAGAGTCTGTGGAGTGCAGAATCAAGACAGTGGAGGGTTGGGCAAGTGGTTGCTCCTCGACTCCAGACGTGTTGTAAAATTAATGTGGTTTTGATCAGTTTTTGTTGCCCAAGCAGTGGAGTTTCCAATGCTTTTTGGATCTGCAGGATTTGAAGCTGATTTCTGCTCTGCACCTGAAGAGGTGAAACGCCACTGCATGTGGCAGCGGAGAATGGCCACTTGCACATCCTCAAAGAGCTCCTTGCGGCCGGCGCTGCGAAGGAAGCGCGGAGTAATTTGGGCCGGGGACCCCCAGTTTCATGTTATAAATAGCCGAGCCAACCATGTGCGCTGTGCGCCCACACTTCGTTTTTGGACACAGGGAGGATACGAATCTATGATAACGCCCATGATGCTGCCGTGCTTTGTTGAACAGAACATTGCCATCACTTCCAGGCACCTATACCAGGTAGGGTGGTTGGAACGTAGCGACTGACTGGTGAAACCCGCACTCTCCGAAGTCAAAGATCAGAAGTATTCATTGCCCCAGCTATATACGATTATATATACGCACCTCTTCAGTATTGGCACTTTGCATGGGCTGGGCGGAGGGGAGCTGCTTCAAGAGATGCCTTCCCATTTTGATCGTTTGTTGACCCTGTTTCCCAATCCTAGATGGATGAGAGGCTATGTAGGCTATAGGAGATGCTATAGGCAGCGCATTGGCAAGTTGCCAAGTGATATAGTAGCCAATTGTTGCTGTTTGACCAAAACATGACCATGTCGTATGCCATGTAGAGATGCCATGTCGACTTTTCCTCCCCCCTTTTGGCGCCGACCCTCGCGGGTCGCCAACCGCTTTCGACGCCTCGAGGGACGACGCCGGCCGAGCTGGCGCGAGCGAACGGCCACGCGGCGCTCGTGGAGCTCTTGGACGCCCCCGACGGAGAGGTGGTGGAACCGAGGAAAAGTCCGACAAACACCGCCGGAGCCTTTTTTCGCCAGACTGGACCGATTTGAGCAAAAGAGGAGTTCAGGGAGATATGTAGGACGTAAAAACAAACGACCAAAATCTAACGTCTGAACAAACGCACACGAAAAGGGGGCAACGATGAAACGAAGGAACGTTGACATAAAAAAAACAAAAGTGCAAAAGAAAAAAGAACGAAAATCATCAAATAAGAAAATAGAAAAAATATGAAAAGTAGAGAGAAAAACTGCTTTGCGTTTTTTTCGCAGTCAGCTTTTTCGATGGTTTTACTGGGTTTTCGTGTCACGTTACCTTTGCCTTCGCTCGTTTGTTTTCGTTTTTGTTTTTTTTAAAATCCTTTCTCATGTTTTTTTATTTTGGCTTCTACTTTTTGTATTATGATCTTTGCTTCGATTTGTTTCTGGTCTTCGATATTTCTTGTTCGTTCGTTCGTTCGTTCGTTTTTTTACTTTTTTCTTTTGTTCCTTTTTTCGCCAGACTGGACCGATTTGAGCAAAAGAGGAGTTTTCGCAAGTTTGAGAGTGTGTGGCGCAACTGTGGTGCAATTGTGGTGCGATCCCACCTCTTTGGCATTCCTTTTTCAGGTTGTGTACTCGATGGACCACGGCCACGGACGGACCAGCCCAGGGAGTTGTGACGTATCCATGTCACAACATTGTCCAGAGTGAAATCATGTCCAGAGTGGTTTGGAAATCTTTGGAAGATCATTTCTTTTCGGCTGGACATGAAGTGGGCACCTCAAGGACTAAGGACCACCACTTGGGCAACCCTAGGACTTATGGTGGTCCAGTTTCATAAATTTCCCATGTCCAGTCTTGACAATTCTGCCAGGCAGCAAAGAACTGAAGAGAAGAGCAGTGCCTGCACCTTCGGCACGTGTTCACTCTTGCGCCTTCGGTTGACCTGGAACATATGGGCCTCTCTTGCCATTTACAAGATATGTTCCTCAAGTTGTTCCTCAATGTTTTTGGGCAAGCCAGTCAGAAAGCAGCAGTTGAGTGACACTTTCCGGAGTTGGGAAGAGCAGGGTTCAGATCGCATGGGGAGTCAGTCGCGTGTTGTTCAGAAAAGCGCAGCAGACATTCAGGTGGCTTTTCGTGACGTTTTCAGGTGACGTTTTTTTTGGCTGCAGTGACAGTGAGATGGAAGAGTTTCCTTGCATGGATGATGCCGGACGGTGGCACCTGTGGGTTCCAAAGGAATTTGCGAAGTCCCAGTGTTAGACTCTAAGACGATACATGGCACTATGATCCCCTGGGAACTGGTTCAATCACTGCGGAAAGGTCACTGGATGGGCATCTTTACTCCAAAACGGTCATGAACTGAAGAAGTTGGCGTAGAATACTTTCAATGAAAGAAAAGCATGTGTTCTCTATTCCATCCAGGTCTATGTGTCTCTCTCTTCCGCTCGTGGCTCGGACCGTCGGAGCGGTCGCGCGGTGCCCGAAAACCAGCCAGGTCGGCACGGTGCCGACCGAGTCGGTCTCGTTTTCCGCTCTAAGTTTCGTGGGATGTAACGTTCAAGAAGGTCACATCGTTTAGCGCTTGTACCTCCAGTGCTTCCGCTTCGATGCTTTTTGGGTGCGATCCTGTGCTTGTGGCAACAGCGGAAAAGGACAGTGTTTCTTGCTTTTTTATTCATGATACTGCGGTACACTTGTGATGGTGTGCGCAACAATATCTAGTAAGCAGACCATGCACTTCTTTTTTAAAGTAGGAGCAAATTTCAGAGGAAGCAGTGTCACATGAACTAGCGTAGCGGAAGACAAACAGTAACGCGCTACAGCTTCCCACAGCCCTCAGCATTCCCCTCAGTACGGATTGGACCTCTTCCACGATGTTCGAAAGGCACTGCCAGCGAAGATGGCTGTGCCGTGCCGCGCCGCTGCGTATTCTGACGGCAGCTGGTGGTGGCAAAATGACGCGTTTGTGTGGTATCGTTCGTTGAATGAATTCTGAACATTTGCTTGCAGAGATGCTGTCCTCTGCCTTCAATGGTTGTTTTGGGAAGAACATGGAATAAATATAAACAGCGCAATCATTGAGTACGTTGAGGGAGGCTGAGGCTGTGCGCTAGTGCTGTTGTTTTCGCTGGTTGACCTTTTTGGGCATAATATATAGGTCAATCTTGAAACGAGATTGTTTGATATAATATACGATTAATTTTTTGTATGCTTCATCCTGTCCTAGTGGTAGTCTACTAGTGGTGGTCTACTAGTGGTAGTCTACTAGTGATAGTCTACTAGTGGTAGTCTACTAGTGGTAGTCTACGAGTGGTAATCTACGAGTGGTAGTCTACCGGTGGTAGTCTACTAGTGGTAGTCTACTAGTGGTAGTCTACTAGTGGCAGTCTACTAGTGGCAGTCTACTAATGGTAGTCTACCAGTGGTAGTCTACTAGTGGTAGTCTACTAGTGGTAGTCACTAGTGATACTCTATTAGTGGTAATCTACTAGTGGTAGCCTACTAGTGGTAGCCTACTAGTGGTGGTTTATTAGTCGAATACCAAGTGCTATCTATGCTGCGAAATTTGCACTTCGAAATTCTTTTCAATATTAATTATATCTATTACGAAATCTGCATATCGAATATATCGAAATTTAATAAATGCCCGATATGATAAATTTGCATTTTAAGGTTTATTTAGTATTGCGCGTATTACGAAAGTTATATCTAAATTTTTTTAAAATATTATATGTATTTTGAAATTCGTATTTTGAGATTTATATAATGATATAATTGGCATAAAATATATAGATTTAAAAAATATTTTTATTATAATATATTTATATTTATATATTATATAATTTAAATTTCTAAATTTAGTAAAATATGGATTGATTTTGATATTTGTATTTCGATGTTTATGATGTTGTTTATTATGAAATATGGAATTTAATAAATGGGAGTTGATCGAAAATGCCGTATAAGGAATTTTATATAAAACAGCTTTTTAGATGTTGTTAGAACCATTCGCGAAAGATTCGCGATGAGGTTCGCGAAAATATTTTTTTTTTTGTTCGCGAAAGATTTATCGAAGGTTATCGCTTTTATTGTTTTTTTTTTTTACCGGATTGACGAATAGAAACGTAAGGTAATCTTCCGGTAGAGCTAGTGGGCGAAGTGTTTTTATGTCACAAACTAACGAATTGAAGTCTTAACCTTTCCGTGCCTAGCCTTGGTAGTGCGTAAAGGATTCTCCGATTCTTGTCCCTATTGTCACATATTAGCGAGCTGGGTAGGCGTAGCCCTGATAGTGAGGCAACGACCTGCCGCTGCTCTGACGGGTTGTGCAGATATTTGCACATGTTACGGCGTCCCGGGGAAAGCACCAGTGAAATTTCGCGAAAGATTCGCGAAAATTTCGCGAATGTACCGCTAAAGTCTAGGTTCTTAGCTTGAGGCCCCTAACATTCCCCAAGCTGTATTATTTTGTTGGTAGCTGACACGAGGATTGGGTTGAATTGTGCTTGATTCTATTTGGCACAATTGTCGCACAGATGCTGCAAGTGACCTTGAATAGCTGTGGAAATGTTCAACCATCTATGGGGGTCATGCTGTAAGATGTCTTTCCCTATTATGACATGTTCCGGCTCATGTTAATTAGATATGGTTGTAGGATTATACTTCGCGATGAAATCGCGAAAGATATCTTTTTTTCCGCGATGAATGGCTATTCTAGGATGAAAGAATATTGATTAACCATTAAATATTTAATATGAAAACGTGTAGTTTAAGATTTATTTAATACGATATATATTATAACATTTATATTTAAGTCTTTTAAAATATTATATGTATTTTAAAATATATATTTTAATATTTATATAATGATATATTTATTACAAAAATTATATATATATTATTCTATTTTTTAAAACAATAATTATATTTAAATATTATAGAATTTACATTTCGATATTTATTAAGATATGGATTTATTTAATATTTATATTTCGAAATTTATTGATAATATTTTATTACGAAATTTAATAAATGATGAATATGTAAAATTTACATTTATCTAATACGGTCCTTGCCATAAAATGTATATTTACGATTTTTAGATTATTATATATATTTTAAAATCTATATTGAGAAATTGACCTTTGAATCGCGATTGCAACCTGTTGGTGTCCAGATCCATGAGGGTTCATGAATTGAGCACGACCTTGCTTACTTGGCTCAAGGGCTCGCAAAAGGAGCGACTCGCTACTGTGCGGCGCACGACGCGTCGCTTTGGCTGCTTTCACATTGGCAGCGGAGCTTTGTTCTCTGACAGGGCTGCTGGAGCCAAGGGACGCTCCTGTTCGCGGTGACCACCCCTATCCCTTTGCTCCGGCGTGATGGCTGCGCTGGAGGCCCTTCGTTGGCGCCCTGGACATGAACAAGATGACCAAGACCTCATGTCCACGGAAGGAAAAGGCATGGTGCCTAGGTACGATGGAGAGCCATCCAAATTGGCTGAGTACAGCTTCCGGGTGAAGCTGCTTCACACCCGGTTCCAGCACCTCGACGAGGCTGAAGCCAAGAAGAAAGGCCCTCTTGGCTTGTTGCTGATTGATGGACTACGTGGTCAAGCTCTTCAGGTGGCAAGGGAGCTTGATCCTGCCAAATTGGCCAAGCCAGATGGCCATAAGCTACTGGTGGACATGCTCTACAAGGCCTTCCGCCCTCGACGACAACAAGATGCAAGAGAGCTGTACAATGCAGGAGCCCAGACTACTCGGATGCTGGCTCGCTAAGCAGGCGAGACGATGACGAGCTTCCTCCTTCGTCGGAGGACCTGGTACTCCATGCTCATCGACCTCGATGACAAGCTGCAGCTGCCTGACCCCATCCTGGCGGAGCAGATCCTGGCTAGCGCCCGGATCAGCCAAGATCATCAGCTGATGATCAGGACAACTTTGCAAGGCGATGTCACGGTCGCCAGAGTCATGGACGAGCTCATCGCCCAGCATGGAACCATCCATGAGCAGGAACTCCATCGAGGACACCATGGATTCCAAGACCACCAAGCACGAGGAAAAGGTGGACGCTTCCCACAACGGCACAAGCCCTGGCAGGGCTACCATGTCGACGGAGGCTCGGCAGAAGATTGGGCTGGCTATGACACCGCCTCTCAATCTCTTGGAGGATTTGAAGAAGACCTCAACTCGGTGTACTATGGTGAGGAGGCCTATGACCCGGAGGAGACCTTCGAGTTTGACGAAGAGGATCCGGTCTTCGGCCTACATCACCATGCAGGACAATGGCCTGGACTGCGAGAACCAAGAAACCCTTGAGTATGCAGCGGAAATGCTGCAGGCCCAGAGCGAAGCCTTCTACACTCCCAAGAGGGCACAGCAGAAGGGTCACACCGGCTTCACTCCTGATTCCTTCCGAGGAGGCAAAGGTTTTCGCGGCAAGGGCAAGATGACCTCTGAGGAGAAGAAGGCCAGAATCGAAGCGCTCAAGAAGCGTACCACTTGCCGGAAGTGTGGCCAGACAGGTCACTGGTCGACCGACTTCTCATGTCCCAAGAACCGCAAAGGGGGCGGAAAAGGATCTTCATCGTCGACTACCTCAACGGCGACTGGCACCGGTTTCAAAGGTGGCAAGAAAGGTGGCAGCAATTCAAGCTCGAAAACCTCGCACGGTCTACTTCACTGTGAATGAGTATGACCAAAACCACGACCTTGAGAAGGGTGAGCTGCCCTATATGGCCCTCATGGCCTACCGCAACGTGCCACCACCTGCTGATCTACAACAAGGAGTTGTGATGTCGCCATCATCCGAACCTTCTGCGGATGAGATGCTTGAGGCAGCACTTCAAGAAGCTGCAGCCCGACAACAGCTTCAGACGATGAATGCACAAGGTCAACAGTTGGCTTTGGAGGGAACAGGTCATGGACATCTTCCTGGACCTCATGAAGCTTCTCAGTTGCACATGCTTCCAGTGCCCGAAGATGCAGAATGGGATCAAGTCTCAATGGCTCACTCTGAATCCCTGGAATTGGTGAGCATCCATCAACCCACCGAACAAGACCTTCGAGATCTCGCACTGGATGAGCAATGGAGCCCTCCACCGCGTCGTGAATGCTTCAATGTCTTTGGCCGTCCGCCAAACTACAAGGCACCTCCAGCCATGCTGCAAAACAGGTCTTCAACACCAGGACCTGGAGCCCAAAGTTCGCCCACTGTGCTCTCGACTGCTTCGGAGTATGCACCTACGACTCCGGGAGAATGTCTTCATGAACGGACCACCACATCCGGATCCAACGCCTACTAGACCCAGGTCAAGTGTCTGGATTGCAACATGGTGCTCAGCAAGGTCAAGAAGGACCGCTATGCCCACATGGAGACGAAAGACATCGACGAATGTCCTCATGACAACAAGGACTACCGGGGCACTTCAGCCACCACGTGGCAATGGCGCTGCAAGGACTGTGGCAAGAAGGAAAGTGGCTTCAAACCGCCCGGCACATCTGGACGAGTGGGTTCAACGGCCCAGTCATCTTCCCCTTCAGATGTGGCACCACCTGGACGACCACCATATGGCCCAGCACCGCAGAGGAGCAGCGCAGAGACTGTGGTGGACATGATGAGAAACGCTCTCAGCATACAGCGAGATGTTGGACAAGATGTCCCTTCAAACCACCTGGACATCATCTTCCGTCGTTGCCGAGAGCTGGTCTTTGGAGTTGATTCACAAAGTCCGGTAACAGAGGCTTCCAGATCGTCTCCAATGACTGCACCAACCAATGCCTCACGCTCCAGATCTGAGTCTGCCAACAGGACTTCATCAGACACAGCCACACCATCACCGGGAGGACCGGCACCCTCAGGTGCACTTCGTGGACCTGATCGATCTGGAGAAGGACTCTCTCAG